CTTCACTGCTTCCTGCTCCCATTACGCACTGCCCACAACAGAACACTGTTTCTCTGGGTCATCACTGAAATGCCCTCTTTCTCAGTGAAGCCTTGCACGACTACCCTGTTTAAAATTGAGGTGAGGGGAATTCATATACACGTGCACACACATATAATTATGCTCCTTAGCACACTTACCATTTTCTAAAAATTACGTTTTCATATATCTTACATTCTCTGTGTTTGTCTCCTTTTTTGAGAATATAAGCAGTAAGAGCAAGGATTTTGATTGTTTACTTCTATATCTTGAGTGCCTAGGATAGCGCCTAGACTGTAGATGGGGTTCAAATATGGTTGAATAGGGAATGAGGGGTTTTTTTTTTCCTCTAGGGCCTTTACATTAGTTGTTTCTTTTCTTTGGTTGGTTCCTTGTATCTTTCAGATATTAAGTTAGTAACCTCCTTAGATGAGTTTCACATTTATCCTGCCTATAATCTCTTTGTCATATCATTCTTTTTTTTCCTACATGACATTTTTTACATTTGGATGGTTTTTTAATTCATCTTTTATCTATTGACTGCTTCTCCCATTCCCATTTAATTGAAAGTACATTCCATGTAGATCAGAGACATTGTATTATTTATTTACTCCTGTATTTCTGATATCCCAAAGACAGTCAAGAAATATTGGTTTAAGAACAAATGAGGTTCATTGTTCTCTTGGTATAAGCCTCACTTCACCTCTAAAAAGCAGACCTTACCCCATTTCTCCCTGCTTGCTGAGTACGCCTTCCCCTTCTGCTGTCATTGGTCCTCTCAGACTCAGCTGAGCTCTGCAGTTAGCCCTCTGTATTTGAGATGTATACCATCCCACAGCCTCTGATGTGGGCTCCAACACTGTGCTCAACAAGAGCCTCCTTCCTGCAGTCAGAAGATTCTTCAGTTTTCAGTAACCTTGCTTTTCTCTTGGCAAGAGTTTTTCTGTATCATTTCCACGTTCTGTTGGGGCTGAGAGAATCTGAGTAGGGCCTCCCTCTGTCTGTATCTCCCTGGCTGCTCTTACTCATTTGCAGCTTCCCACATTGGCAAAGCATATTCTATGGGGCTGCCTTCTCCAGGGGATCTCACTGTGAAGTGGGGAGATAAATCCTTTCTGCCCTCTAATCCTTAAGCCAGTCCCAGAAGGAGAAGGGGTGGTTCTTCAGCCACTGTCATGGACTCTCACCATTGGCTTTCTTCAGCTAATGCTTAAAAAAAAAGGTTTAAGTACTGTTGTTTTGTATTTAAATTTCTTCTTGATCTCACTTTCATCCCATAAAGGCAGGGATCAGTTTTTTGTATTTTTTTCTTTCACCCTTATATCTCTACATTTATGCCATTTGAAAAAAATGAAGTCATTTTTTGATACAATGTGATATGGTCATTTACAAGGAATATTTATTTGATCTTTGAGATGACCAAAATATGTATTTTTAATATATTTGGTCTTTGTCCAGGGTTCCTAGCTCACAGTTCTCAAAACTTAAGAATTTCCGAAGTGAGGGAGCAATAAGGATATCTTTTGTTTGTCTTTTGTTGAGGAGGTTACTTTTGGACTCCACCTGAGGATGGGGCTGGTTGCCAGGAGAACCAGCCATGCATGTGATTAGAAGGTTCGACCTTTAAGTCCTACCTCCCTTTCCTCCAGTGAGTGCAGAGGGGCTAGAGGTTGAATCAGTACCCCATAGGGAATGATTCAATCAACCATGCCATTGTAATGAAGCCTCTTTAAGTATCCAAAAGTACCAGGTTGGGAGAGCTTCCAGGTTGGTAAACACAGCGATTGGAGGAGATTGTCACACAGATTGGGCATGGAGACTCCCTTTCTGTATGCCTTGCTCTATGTACCTCTTCCATCTGGCAGTTCCTGAATTATATTCTTTTATAATGAACTGGTAACGTAGTGAGTAAAATTCTGTCTGAGTAGCCACTCTAGCAAATTAAACCCAAGAAGTTATTGAAACTTCCAGTATGTAGGTGGTTGGTCAGAAGCCGGGGGCGGTTGCAGCCCTGTAGAATTGAGTCCTTAACCTGTGGGATCTGATGCTGTCTCCAGGTAGATAGTGTCAGAATTGAGGTGAATTGTAGGACATCCACATCCAGCTGGTATCTGAGAATTGCTTGGTGGTGTAGGGAAACTCCCCCTCCACACGTTGGAATTGGTGGTCAGAATCATTTGATACGCAGAAATTTCAATTCTTTGAACATTGTGCATCTAACCTCACTCCTTTGAATTCACAGCAGTTATTTTTCCTATCGTGTAATTCATTTTATATGTACAGCCTGGGTGGACATTTGAACTTTATTAGCTAAAAAGATCTGTTGTTTACATATTTGTAATATAGCTTATGGCCCTAACTTGATTCAAGGCTTTTTAAGGCCATGGGCTTTCCTCTTATATGAATATGCTTGTTTTATATTTCAAAAAATTGCTTTCGTAAGCCAAAGGGGGAAAGTGTATCATGTCCTCATTTGCCCACATTTTGTTCCCAGGGTTTTAATTTGAAAGTTCAGAGTCAACCATCGTCTCAGCACTAGGTGGCACTTGTGCATCACAATTAGTCATACATACCTAACCTAGTTTGTGACAAGTGTGTGATCCACAGATGCAGTGTTTGGAATCCCTGTGTGAATGTTCCTGAGAATAGGAATGTGAAAAAAGAGGAGACCTACTTAGTACCATTGCTTGATGTATTTATAAATACATGATTGAAGAATATAGTGAATTCATAATCACTATTTCCTGGTAATATCAAATCGGTAGGAAAGTCTCCATTCATACTTTCTTAGCCCGACTTTGCAATAAAGTTGAAATTTGTTTTAGGATCTGTTTGCTATTCATCATGGTTAATTGTGAGAGAAATAAGTAGTACAATTCATTGCACTGGCTTATACCCAAACCTAAGCATTTACTGTCTTGTAATGTTGAAGGAAATTCCTGGTTTTGACTTATGAACTCTATAGATTTTCACTGTTGAAAAAACAGAAGCTCAAAGACATTAATTTGTCCAGCATCATAACTAATAGGTAGACAGAACCAATGTTCAAACTCAAGTCTGTTGAGTTCCAGAGCCCAGGCATCTTTATTTTATTCTAATGGTGCCAGGTTTAGCCACTGCTTATTTGTGTTAAAGCACCTGGATGATGAGTGCAAATGCCCAATGTTGGTTCCTTTCCCTTAGGAGAGATTGGAGTAAGAACCTAAAGAACAGATGGGCCCTGAGTACAGTAAGCCAAGAATGGAAAAAGAGAAAGTCATTAAAGGAAAGACTTAACACCAAAGATGTTGGCCTACTTTTGCCTAGACTCAGTCCATTTCTCTTTAAGCCAGTGACACACAGAAGCTGAATAGAGTGAATTCGTTGTTACCTACCACAGGCTTCAAATCCTGGCTTCTCATTCTGGCTTCTCTGAATACTTACTGACCACGTGATCTTGGGCAACTTGCAAAGTTGTAACTTAATTTACTTACCTTTAAAACAGGAGGATTAAGTGGACATGAAAGCACATATACTAGTATATGATAAACATATTGGTATCTGATTGGTATCTGATATTATCATTGGTATATGATAAACAATAAATATTAACCATATGGGTGGTTTTTACATTATGCAACATGAAAAATATCTATAATGACCATAGCTACAGCCACCTTTGTTATAGAAGAGTTTTTTGTCCAGAAATTTGTTCATGTAATTTTTGTCTAAAGTGAAGACTCCTCTTCCCAGGGATACTTTCTGAGATATAATACAGATACGTGTGTACAAATTAGGATTTTTAACATTCTGGTGTTAAATTGTTTGGCATCAAACCACACTTGGTATTTACTAACCACATAGCCTTGGGCAAGTTACTTGGCACTTAGCTCAGTGCCCACTACATAGAAAGCACATCATAAATGATAGCTTTATAGGGCTGTAGATTTTTCACTTAAGGGAAAGTGCATAGATACATTGGAAGTAGAAAGATGTCAGTAAATGACAGGTAAATAAGGTCCTTTATAATGATAAAATCTAATGATTTTGTTCCAACAACTATCAAAACCTATTTTGTTTTGTTGTTTTTATATTATGGCAAATTTCAAACATTTATAAAAGTAGATTAGCATGAGAAAGCAGTGAACCCATGAGGGACCCATCAGTTAGCTTCAACAATGATATAATACATGGCCAATCTGTATTTTATAATAAAAAAATAACTTTTAGGTATTTATAATTAAAAAATAACTATGAAGTATTTTACATAGAAAAATTCACATGTTTGAAGTGTTACAGTGATTTGTACAAATTTCTGAGTTGTGCAGTCATTACCATAATTCAATTTTCAAACCTTGGTAGGATTCCTTCTCCCCATATACAATTAATCCCAATTTCCACTCTCAGCCCCAGGCTGATTTATTTTGTATCTCTGGATTTGCCTTTCTGGACATTTAATATAAATGGAATCATATAGTATGTGGTTTCTCATATCTGGCTTCTTTCACTTACCCTGGTGTTTTTGAGGCTCATTCATGTTGTAGCATGTATCAGTTTGTTTCTTTTTCTTGACAAAACATTTTATACATAATGCCATGCTTCTTCTGCCCTATTTTATAGTGGCCAATCTTTTTTCTGTGTTTTTATCCTTTTCCCTTTACTATCTACTGCTACTGAATTATGCACAGTTGTTTTTAATTTAATACGATGGCTTAAAACATTGATTATGTTTCTGCTTTTTATTTTTTCAAACCATTTTCTATCTTCCTATTCATCTTGCTTGTTTTAATTTGTTTCCTGTCTCTAGGAGTCTTTTTTGTTTGCTGGTTTGGTTTTATTTGAAAACGAAGAGATGTCTAGATCATAAACTTTCAAAGATAGAGACAAACACATTTCTTTTATCCTCACTTTAATAAGTCTTTCAGATGGGCGTTAGTGTTATATGTTGGACTGGATTTATTTGTTTATGATTCTTACAGTTTTGTTTTTCTTTTTTAACTTAGGTTGTTGGAAGAGGAGCCTTTGGGGTAGTTTGCAAAGCTAAGTGGAGAGAAAAAGATGTTGCTATTAAACAAATAGAAAGTGAATCTGAGAGGAAAGCTTTCATTGTAGAGGTAAGTTGAGATGTCCTTCTGTTGTGTATTTTTTCACCTAAGATACTCTGAATTTAATTATGAAAAAAAATTGTTTCTCAGTTGTCATTTCTCATTATACTTGAATATTAGCAATTTGGTTGAACTACAGGCAATGCTATAGGAATGTTTTTTCATTCACACTCTTTATTCTCATTAAAGATTAGGGGGGAAGGAGGCTTACCTAAATGAATTCATCTGTGAATTAAAATATAACTTCATCCATGTAATTCAGATCTATTTCAATACATAGAATTTAAATTTTAAAGTAGAAAAGAAATGCTATTCTCTCCCATTGTCTAAAATTAAGAAGGGAAATTTTGTGCATTTATTTTGACTGGATATTTTTAGAAATTCGAATGAGATTATTTTAAGAGAAAATAATTTCAAATTTGTTTTTTCTCATGTAGCATGAAAATTTACAGCTCAGTTCTCATACAAATTTATTGATGAAAGAATTTAATAATCATGAAATTGTATTATCAGACTTATTCTCTATTAATTTTGTGTTATTTTGTATATTAAATCATAGTGTTTCATTAAATCAGTGGTTTTATCACTTTTTAACTTCATTAGCCAAAGCATAAGTAGTCTTTACTTTATAAACCTTATGAATTTATATTTGTGATTTTATTTAATTATAATTTTAAAATATACTGCATGATATTTTTAAATGTATAACATTGAGAAATGAGAACTGGTTGTGATATGATGAAGTAGAATTTGTAATTAATTAAATGAGTTGAGGAATACTGATGAATAGTTTGATGGTATCATAAAGAAAGATAATCTCTGTTCTGGCCCAGTGGCTCACTTGGTTGGAGCATTGTCCCATATACTAAAAGGTTGTGGGTTCAATTCCCGGTCCATCATTCCTTCCTCCTCCCTTCCTATCTCTAAAATCAATAATAAAATCATAAAAATAAAATCATTGGATAAGGATTAAAAAAGAAAGAAAGATAATTTCTAATAGTATGCTCCAGGAGTCTGGTATCAGCTTTGCCTTATTCATAACTTTTGTTTATAGTTTAGATAAGGTTATTTATCATATACTGTTGTATTGGCAGTTTCACAAAACTAGGTAAAAGGATAAGTGTTAAATGCAAGGAAATAAGAGTCAAAAAGATTACAATAGCTTGGAGGAAACCATTTAATCAAAGTTATACATTATGTGATTTAAATTGTCAAACTATATTCCTACATATTCTTACTAAAAAAATTTCACTCTTCTGTACCTCCTCACATCAAGTTTTCTGCTTCTCAAAGGCAACTACTTTGAGTTTGTTTCTTTATTTTGTTTAATGTACCCCATTCCAGAGACTCTTTATTATACTTCCTATAAAGTGTCTACCTTTAATCTTTGGGCTGATAAAGAGCCAGTCACTAACCTGCTTGAAGTCAGGGAGGGAGGAGATCTTTGGGTCTAACTTCCAGTCAATCTCTCCTCTCTTTTATTAGCTTATTTGCATAGGCATCTTATGCTACCACCACTTCCAACCTTTTGAAGGTTTTGTGAGCTAAATCTCGTTGCTTCTCACTTTTTCTCATTTCTTTTAAGCCTGCTTTATCAGTTATTACTAGTCATTTTCTTTCCTACTTCCAAAACTTTTACATTCTCTCCATCCTTCTGAGTTTATGCCTTGAAAAAAATGCCTTTACTGTCTCGGGATTTGGGGAAGGAACAGGAGTAAATGCCTGAATAGTCTGCTATCTGAAGTGCTAAATCTGAACAAGATGAGATGTAATAAATATATATATAATAAATGAATATGCATAATAGTGATATTAATTCTTCTATTAAGGCAAAATTCACAAATATTGGCTGTAGAAAAATACAGCTTTCTAGTTCCATATAGTAAAAAGGTTTACTTTAGTGGACTTCGTGTGAACCAACAGCATAACGTAGGTAATAGAGAAGGAAAGGAAGAAGAAAGAGAGAAAGGCAGAAAAGAGAGGAGGAGGAGGAAGAGAAGAAAGAAAACCAGGAGCAGTTTAAGGGGACACATGAGTAGAAGTTTGAGATGTGTAGTGAGAGAAATGAGGACAGCCAAACCCCTCACTGACCTCAGTATGAATCATTGGATCAGGGAAGATTAAAACTGGAAGTAGGGAGACCAGTTAGGAGAAGGCCATAGTAATTACTGCAGTGGTTCCAATTAGAATTATTAAGGCAATAGTAGTGGGCCTGGTGAGGAGGAATTTTGTTCAGGAGATGTGAGATGGAGTGTAGGGAAGGGAGGACAAGTATGCGAGAAAAGTATAAATTTTAAGTCAAACCAAGTTCAAATCCTGGCTGCACTACTTCCTAGGTTTAGGGTATTTAGCAACTCACTTAACCCTCTCTGAACCTTATCTCAAAGGTCCTTATCTTTAAAAAAGGTTCTTCCATCTATGAAAATTATAATACCTACCTTGCAGAGTAGTGGGGAATTATACAATACCTTTAAAGTGCCCACTAGGGCCCAGTATAGAGTAGTAGGTAGATTATTCAGCCACAAGTTTGAAGATGATGGTGATGACATAAGAGGGCTTCTTCTGGCTTCGGTAACAGCCTGGTGCCATTTCTGGGATGGTGTTCTATCATTTCTTTGCAAAGTTAGTTTCTTCTTGTTTGTACTCGTGCATTGGTTACGGTACTTTGCACATTGCTTTTAACTATTCGTTTACATGTCTGTTGCCCAACTAAACTGTGAGCTCTTTAGGACAGGGATTCTGCACTATTCTGGGAAGGCCTTAGGACCACAGTGTCTGCTACCTAGTAAATAGTGATTGTTGAACGATTAATGCTTTATACAGTCCTCAGATTTTGATGATGCTATGAAATCAGTTCCTCAGGAGTTAGCACTTTCTAAAAGAAACCTTAATTTATTACAGCTTCGGCAGTTATCCCGTGTGAACCATCCCAATATTGTAAAGCTATATGGAGCCTGCTTGAATCCAGTAAGTTCCTCAGCCCAGTAAGTTTCATTGTTCAGCTGCTTAAGAAATGGCATGGCAGATGTGTGCAGGTGTGTAGTTTAGCTATTTTGATGACATCTTCTTTCTAGGGAAAAAAATTGTGCACTACTTTATGTATTTTCTTTCTAGTCTTAGCAATATCATATATTGAAGTTGTTGTCTTAGGTGTTCTTATCCAGTAACCGCATCTCCTTGTGAGGCATATGCTATTGTGTGGTGGCATCTACTCATTAGCACTGAAGAAAGTCCCGGAAGATCTTGTGATGATGTCATTATATACTTCTCTACTCTTGGACAGGGGGTGCCTAGACCAACAAGGTTTTAAATCATATATAACTTTTTTCCCCCTAGTGTCATTTACGTAGAGACCAAAAGAATGTTTTATAATGCATTTATAAAATCAAAGATTGAACTGAGTTATCTCTCAAGCCCCCAAAGTGCTCTGTGGTTAATTATTCTGACTTATGTTTCCTTTAGGTGTGTCTTGTGATGGAATATGCTGAAGGGGGCTCTTTATATAATGGTGAGTGTCACTAGACCTATCTTTATCTAGTAGAATAAAATAATTGAAAAGCTTTCAATATAAACTTACTTAATGTTCTTCACAGTTTACCTTCAGAGTCCCAAAAGGAGATAATTTTTTAAAAATCTGCTAAAGATTAAAAATAAAATAAGCACTACAACATTAGTTTGTACAATTTAGAACTCTAAGTATATCAGTCTTTTAACTTGGTGGAACTTTTCATAATGTTAAACACATTTAAGTAAAGTAAAAATTTTTAAATAGATTTTAAAATATCTTTTAATTTTTTTGCCTCTCTTAGCTTTGAGCCTCCTCATTTTAGAACTCTAATTATATTTCTATTTCATTCTACTTTATTTTGCTTTTTTCTTTTCATAACTTTATTTTTATTGTTTACACTATCACAGATACCCCATTTTTTCCCTCTGCTCTCCTCCATTTAGCCCTCACCCCCCATTTCGCTTTTTTTTTTCCAAAAAAATAAAACTGAAAATTCACTTTACAGAACATTTTAATTATAACAATGAAAGAAAACTGTGTATTGGTAACTAGTTCCCTTTATAAAACAGAGCTCATTCACTCTAAGAAACACTAACCATATATGTAAATGTATTGTCACTAGTACTATTTCTGTAAAATAAATTGCTCATTTTATTTTTTAAATGTACATTATTTTATATAAACTTTTACTTATATTTACTGCCCATGTGTTCATCATTGTTGGTGGGTATCTAATACTCCATTGTTTCATTCATTCATTCATTTTAAAGATTTCATTTATTTATTTGTTTGTTTGTTTGTTTGTTTGTTTTTAGAGGGGGGGAGGGCGGGAGAAAGAGAGGAAGAGAAACATCAATGTGTTGCCTCTCATGTGGCCCCCACTGGGGACCTGGCCGCACCCAGGCATGTGCCCCGACTGGAAATCGAACCCGCAACCCTTTGGTTCACAGCCTGCTCTCAACCCACTGAGCTACACCAGCCAGGACTCCATTGTTTTATTTGGTTGAATTATTTCTAGTCTTTAGCTATAAATAGAAAGCATAATTATAAACATTTTGATACATATTATGTTTCCTTTTGAGCCAATCTCTCTCTCTCTCTCTCTCTTTCTCTCTCTCTCTCTCTCTCTCTCAGAGTAGCGTGCCTCACATTGCTTATTACTTATTTAATTGTGTGGATGCAACTGTCAATATGGAAAACTATGATAGTGTATATTAATTTCACTTAAATGTGTGTATAATATTCAGTAGAAGTGCTATAAAAATGTTAGGTACTTATGTACTGGTTATTCATTTGAAATTATTAGATATTTCCATCTTTTTATTTAGAAAAGTATTAAAAGCAGGACTAGCGGGAACATGTGTTAAAAAATACCCAGTCATGTGTTCTGATAGTGCTTGCATTCATCTTGTATCTTTTATTATATACAATAAAGTTCTTTTTAGTTTGTGCCTTTCTTTTGCAGTGCTGCATGGTGCTGAGCCATTGCCGTATTACACTGCTGCCCATGCCATGAGTTGGTGTTTACAGTGTTCCCAAGGAGTGGCTTATCTTCACAGCATGCAGCCCAAAGCTCTAATTCACAGGGACCTGAAACCACCAAAGTAAGTCAGTCTCTGTCTCTGTCTCTCTCTCTCTTTCTCTCCCTCTCTCTCCCTCTTTCTCTGTGTACCCTCTGCCCCCCGCTCCTAGTCCCTAATTCACCTTGTAGGTTGCAAATGAGCAATGTACATGTAGGTTCCTCAAAATGGCATATAAAGAAGTCTTCTGATGATTTGGTGAGATGTTTATACAGTATCAGCTTGTGCCCGTGTCCCTATTTTATTTATCTTTTCCAAATTCATTTGCACGTACTTCAGAAATAAAAATGTGTTTTTGGCCCTAATTCTGTGAAAGTAAGCCTATGAAGATAATTTAGGTTCTTATTTCAGTGAACCTCAAATGTCATGCTCAGAGTTGGTGAACTGTTAACATCTTATGAGTAAAGGAGTGCTAATTGTAATAGTAATAATATAAAAGTGATTCAGAAAGATTAGTGTGACATCTTGAACAAACCAGGATAAAACATGGAAACCAGGTACAGAGTTCTTGTCTTTGGTAAAGAGTACTAGAGGAACTTGAACAAGAACAGGGAAATGGGGAAAAAATTTGTTGAGGAGCATATAGAGGTAAATTGCATTTAGTATTCTTTCTACTTATAGTATGTGTGGCATTATGGAGATGTGAGTAGTAGTTTATCTGGCTTATCTTAGTCATGTTGGACTAAAAGAAAACTAAATTTCTAAATAATCTTTCCAGTTAGAATTTTAGTACAACATTATATATACAAAGAATATATAAAATTGTAATTAAAATGAATCCCCATATACTGCTGTTGAATATTACTATAGCATAATGATACAGATTATGTTACCCTGTCTTTATTTGTTTGTCATCAGAAGGAAAACCTGAGCAAGAGTATGCTTCTTTGTGATTGTACATGGGTTATAGCACACCTAGGACAGTCAGAATCTTCGTTTCAGAAAATTTTCTGGAAGTCTTTCGTTAAGTCATTTTAACAATAATAGGTTATACTCCTCCCACACACATATTATAAATGTAAAATGGTTTTGGTTTTGAACATTTTAAAAAGTTTCTTCAAAATGGACATGTAAGATGACAATTTTACCTTTTATATTGGTTTTATGTTATTTTCTTTAATTAAATGTTACATTTAAAACAATTCATGTTCATGATTAAAAACAAATTCAAACAGTAGACAAAAATACAAAGCCTGCCTCCCATTTTCACTCCTCAGTAGTAGCCACTGTTTTGCTTTGTACTATGTAGTAGCCACTGTTTTGCTTTGTAGTATGCATTATACTATGCATAATGTTGCTTTTTCCATTTACATGGACATCTTTGCATACAGATATTTACCTCTTTATTTTTAATAGATAAATACTATTTCTTACATACTCTTAAGTAAAGTGAGCACTTAAAATAGAAACTATTTTTGGATTTATTAGCAGCCTTAGACTTGGAAGACCTGATTTATAGAGTTGTTTTTAGAAAATAACATGCTATTGAATCATTTGACATTTGGAGATTCTTAAAAATTTTAATGCCCTAAATTGGTGCTTCTCAAACTTTTCCACCTGCCCAGAACAGAGTAATGATATAATATTACCTCAGTAGATCTGAGAGTAGGGACAGGGTCTATAAAAGCCTTAAGGAAAGTTACATACGAATTTCTATTCTACTTCATATATTATTCGATTTGTTTTAAAGTTAATATCAGGGTGTTAAAAATACTTATACTTAGGACTGAGTAGAAATGATGGTCCAGGGAGATGTGCTAACTTTAACCTGGGGCTGTGTAGGCTCCCTGCCACTTATCCCAGCATACATTGATACACTGGCAAGGTTTTATACCCTCATTAGAGAGGCACATAAAGTTTAAGCCAGGATGTGTATACATTTTAATACTAACACCCTGTGTGTGTTCAGAGGGATAATATAGAAATGTAGCTTGTGTTCTCTTTTTTTTTTTTTTAAGGTTTTATTTATTCATTTCTAGAGAGAGGTGAAGTAAGGGAGAAAGAGAAGGAGAGAAACATCAGTGTGTAATTGCCTCCCACGTGACCCCCACCAGGGACCCAGCCCACAACCCAGGCATGTGCCCTGACTGGGAATCGAACTGGTGACCCCTGTTTCACAGCCCTCACTCAGTCCACTGAGCTACACAAGCCATGGCTTTGGGTTCTAATGCTCGCATGATACGAATGTTGGCACTCCAGCAATATGGCAAACCAGATAAACTGAAAAACCATTGTACAGCTAGCATCCAGAGATGCTTCATAGTACAACAAACATACTTTCACATGCAGGTGATCCTACAAGAAAATCAGGGATGTCATCAGGGCAAAAGATGGAAGGAACTGAATCCTGAGTTTGGAAACCATGCATGGAAGCCAAGAGCTTTACTGTAGCCTCTGCCTGTATGTAGAATATGGAGCCCTAGGTGTTAATGGCTCATGTATAACTGGAACCAGCTGAGGTAGCAGGACCAAGGCCTCTGTATGAATTTAGTAGGCTTGGCAGGAACAACCTAAAGGAAAGTAAGGTAGGAAAAATACCAGTTTTCTGACTAGGTAAACTTTTATTTAACTGAAGGTCTCCCTTCATGCTATTGTGGATTTTAATTTGCCCTACTTACACTATTAAGAAAACCCTAACAAGACAGGTTAAAAGTGCTTAAGATCACATGCTTTCAATCTAAGCCTTTAGGGTTGATTATTCCAGAGTAAGATTGATCAAATATGAAACCACAGTAAAAATTACCATACCCATAGGATGCAAGTCACCATGAGTGGTAGCAGAGACAAAGCACAATTAACCCTCAAATATTAAGACTCATTATATTTGGAATGATCAGATATGGAGTATAAGATAAAAAAGAAGAAATGAAAATGTGCAAGGAGCTCTGGCCAGGTAGCTCGGTTGGAGCATTGTCCCAATATGCCAAAGCTGCAGGGCACACCGACTGGGGCACAAGTAGGAAGCAACTGGCCAGTACATGAATGGGTGGAACAGCAAGTCAGTGTTTCTCTTTCTCTCTACCCTGCTCCCTCTGTCTCTGTAAAATCAATAAACAAAACAGTTCTTAAAAATTTTAATGAAGTGAAATGTGCAAGGAATGGCCCAAAAAACTAAATAAACATTTAGAAATAATTAAAAATTTTAAATAGCAGTTATGAAATAGATGACAAGAGAATTAGTGAGCTGTAAGATATATCTGCAGTTACCCAGAAGGTAACAGACAGATGAGGGAAAAAGTGACAGTAAGAAACATAGAAAAGGAAGAGAAGGACTAATAGTACATAATTATAATTCTGGTAGAAGAAAATATAATGGGGAGAGACTTCAAGAGGGATTGGCCAGGAATTTTCTGGATAAAAAATATGAATTCTAAGCCAGATAAATGAAAAGGAATCTACCCTGTGATGTACCATAGTGAGGCTACAGAACAACAAAAACAAAGGGAGATTTTAAAATCTGCTACACAGAAAAGAGATTACCTACAAAGGCTTGACAGTCAGATTGAAGTATACTTCCAACACCAAAATGGAAGCCAAAAGACTGTAATCAACTTCACAGAGTTGTGTGTCTACCTTAAGTTATTTTTAAGGAGCAGCGGAGTGAACTAAAGACACTTGGAAACAAAACCTGAGAAAATTCACTATAAGCAGGTCTTCATTAAAGGTATTTTGGGAAGAAAGCAGATGACTTTCAAGGTAAATATAAGATTCACAAAGGAGTGGTGAAGTAAAACCAGAGGACATACATTAAAGTGCACTCTGGCTCTGTGAAACAGTGTCCTGCATGTCAGATGAGTAGAGGGACTTCAAAATACAGAGTTGTTCCCGTTGGTTTGCAGAGTAACCTACATGTGTGTAAGTCTGTTAGATAAGGGTATAGTCATTTACATTTCTAAACAGTACCTTTTTTAATAAAATTACAAAAATTATCTTTTACTTTCATCGTTCATTTTATACATTCAAAATGCTTTATATATTTCATTATAGAAATAACAAGTTGTGTTGGGGTATAAACCTTAAAGACTATGCAAATCTGTTTCTTAAGGAAATCTAAATACTTGGGTATATTAGTTGTTCTCACACTAGCTACTATAGGCAATCTGAGGCTTATCATAATACAAATTTATTTTACTCATCTGACATCCAAAGCAGGTGTTCATATTTGGTAGATGACCATCCACATGGTAATTTAAGGACCTACTTCAGGCCTCCTTCGTCTGGTACTTCTGCCATCCTCCAGGACTTTAGGGACCAACAGATAAAGGGAATGGAGATGAATAAGAGAAGTTTTTTGAGCCTGACCTAGAAGTGACCTGTGTCCCTTCTACCCACATACCGGTGGCCACAACTCAATCTTAGCCACACCTACCTGTGCAAGAGGGTGGGAAATGACTTGTAGCCTCCAGAAAAATCAATGGATTTGGTGAGCAGCTGGCCACTCCCAGCCACATCTCCTTTCTGGTGACCCAAGATCTGTTCTACTTTTACCACAGGTGGAACCAGTCACTGCCCTTTGCTAGTTAAACACCCCAGAGGCACTCTCAGTCACCATCCAGCTCACAGCCCAGGGTCTCAGGATGATCCGCAATCCTCTCCAACCAGACTGGGTGTGGCTCTTCCCAGTTTTTAAAATAAATGAATTAAAAAGACAAGTTATCTCTCACCTTCCATATCCCCTTCCCTGCAACACAAACACACACAATGGTAGAAGAGAAGACAATCAGTAAAAGCCTCCTTTGGGAAAAGTAGAATTGGAGGCATACAGTAGTTACTGGTTCATAGGAATGAAGACCTGCATTGTCTGGTCCCTCTGCCCTGGAGGTGTGAGACTTTCTTGGTCAGACCCTGACTCTGGCCTTGTAGAGGAACTCCCTTATCCATTGCTCGAGATTCCTAGCTTTACCCTTTTGTAGGCTGCCCTCTGTCCATTCTCCATAGCCACGTCAGAACTGGGTTTGGGGGCATATACTCCCCTCACAAGTTGTACAGCTTTCACAGCCTGCTTCCTCCTTCCACAGATATGGGAGCAAAGGCTTTTTTATTCCAGACTAGTGGTGTTCTTAGCAATAACATTTCCTCGGAAGGTAGGCTTTTGATTTCCCTGATTCTAGTCAGTTCCATGCATCTGTGACACTAACAGAACTCTTTCTTATACACAATCTTGGACTTGGTTAATATGATTCCTGGCCTCATTGCTTTTTCTCAACTGAATGTGGAGACACCTTGAGGTTATCAAGTTTAGGCAGGAAGGTTTTTTTTATTTATTTCTCCTTTGCTGCAGTGCTGAGTCTTTTTTTTTTTTTTTAAGATTTTATTTCAGTATTTTTAGAGAGGGGACAAAAAGGAAAAAAAGGGAGAGAAGCTCTTACATGCACCTCAGCTGAGGACCAGGCCTACAGCCCAGGCATGTGCCCCAGCTGGGAATTAAACCAGGGACTTCTTGCCCTGTAGGGTGATGCCCAGCCAACTGAGCCACAGTGGTCAGGGTGCAGTACTGAGTCTTAATGGAACTTTGTCAGCCTTACTTCCTGCTGTTTGGAGTATAGAAGCAGTCAGCTTTTCCAATCCTTTAAAACCACAGACTATTACAGAAGACAAATTTTACCAAATGTTTTTCCACATCATTGCATGGATCTTTATCTTTCCAGCCTCCGGTTTCAGGTGTTTTTTTTTGTTGTTGCCTTTGCTAAGCCAATACAAAATACATTAGAATTTTGTTAGCGCAACACCAACATAGTTATCATTTTCTTATGTTGGCTAGTGTAACACTACTATAATAGTTAAGACCTGAATTTCATGGCTTAACAGTACAGGGATTTTTTTTTTCCAGTCATATGAACTGCAAAGTCAGTATTCCTGATTAGTGGGCATTTTTTCACATGGCGGTTCAGGATCCCAGTCTCCTGTCTTGTAGTTCCGAATCCTTTGCGTTCAGTGCCATGGGGAAAGGGAAAGGAATATACATGTGGGAAACTTTTATGAACTAGGCTTGGAAGTGAGGTACATCACTTCCACCCATATTCCATTAGCTAGAATGGTCGTGTAGTGATACCTAACTACTTATCATCCTGGGAAATCTGTGTGCCCATGAGGGAGAGGAAATGGGTCAGTGAACAGCTAACCAGTCTTCTACAAGAGGCTAAAGTTAAAGACTCATTTTCGTTCACCATAAGGTTAATAAAAACCAGGTTTGCAAAAACTTTTAGACCATGATCCAGAGCATAAAATACTTGACAGACTATAATGTGTTACATATTAATGTATATACAACTGAAACAACTTTCATGAAACAAATCTTGTTGTCATGCCCTTTGATAGTTTGTATGATTTTATTTTTTTATTGCTTTATTGTTCAATTATAGTTGTCTCCATTTTCTTGCCACCCCCTCTCCACAGTATTGTTTTATTTTTTAAGATGCTATCATAGTCTACTGAATTGATTTTGCGATCTGGCTTTCCAGATCTGTCATCTGGATTTTTACGATTTTGATTTTATGACTAGATTTTTGCTTGCAACTTGAAAAACACAAGGATAGGTAAATCAAGGATAGGGCCAGCAAGCGATTTATAAAGGCATTGATCTTCCTCTACCTAGGGGCACCATCTTGTTGACCTACTACAAGTTTTTTAAACCCCATGTCTTATTTTGGCCCAGAGAGAACTATTGTCAGGAAAGACTATGGAGATAGAGACGGAGACATCCAACTGTGGGTTTAGCAGTCTTCCTAAGAGAACTAGGTTAAGATCAGTTAATTTTTGCTGATATTCCTCTGAACAATATTAAGCTGTTAGAGTGAACAGGTAACATTTTGCAGAAGTTGAATGGTGACATTTTACTTAATTATGATTATGATATATAATTAATTATGATTTCCACAAATGTCTCTTATTGTAGAATCAAATATTAGTCTTAAACCTTTGGGTTTGTTTTTGTTTTGTTTTGTTTTTTTTAACAGCTTGCTGCTGGTTGCAGGAGGGACAGTTTTAAAAATCTGTGATTTTGGTACAGCCTGTGACATTCAGACACACATGACCAATAACAAGGGGAGTGCTGCTTGGATGGCACCTGAAGTTTTTGAAGGTAAAATGACAAGCATGATATGATTGGTAATGTCTTAGTACTTCATGTAAATTCAGTGTGTGTTTATGATCGCGTGCCTGGTTTTGTGTCTACGTGGTGCGTAGTTACAAAGCATATACTGAAGTCTGAGGAGGTATTAAGTATAGCCGTAGATCTTAAATCTCCTGGGAGGATTTAAGTTGACTAGCACTTTCCTTGCAAGTTCCAGCATATGTGCAGCTGATCCTCATTCTTAGACTGTGGAAAAAATTTAGGAAAATATTTTGGAAAAGGATATATAAGTATTCATTCTCTGCCCCAGAGAAAGTATGTCTTATTTAAAGATAAGGCCTGTGTCTCTTGATGAAAAAGTAGAAAATGACAAACTTTCTAAAGTAGATTTTGTAGTTCATTATTAATACTTAACTCATTAAAAAAGTGTATTTGTTAGGCCCTGGCCAGGTAGCTAAGTTGGTTAGAGCATCGTCCTGACACACCAGGTTTGTGGGTTCAGTCCCCACTCAGGGCATGTACAAGAGTCAGTCAATGAATGCATAAATAAGTGGAACAACAAATCAGTGTTTTTCTCTCTTCCTCTTCCTCTCTTTCTCTAAAAATCCATAATTAAAAAAAAAACAACAATAGTCCTGAGCACATTTTTAAAAAGTGTATTTGTTGTAAAGACTTAAGAAACTACAAAAAAGAGTAACTTCTCAGCTCTGCTTGTAGCCTCCTCTTGTTTTCGTACATGACACCCATTCTTAAAATTTATGAAAACAGTTGTTTCTGTAAGACCTGTGGGAAAAAGTCCTGAAATTATACCATATTTTTTTCTAGGTAGCAATTACAGTGAAAAATGTGACGTCTTCAGCTGGGGTATTATCCTCTGGGAAGTGATAACACGTCGGAAACCCTTTGATGAGATTGGTGGCCCAGCTTTCCGTATCATGTGGGCTGTTCATAATGGTTTGTGAACAGACATTTTTCTTTAATATATTTGCATATTTCCCCCGAAGATGACCATTTATCTTTAACATTAAAATGTACAACTTTTTGTTACCAGAATACTTTTCTGCTCTCAGTTTCCCACCCTCCCCACAGCCCAAAACTCAGGCAGGGCAGGACTGGGCAGTGGTCCCGGTGTTTACACAAGGCTGGGGGGTAGAGGTCTGCTGGCTATGCTGGTTGGGAAAGGCCATCACTAGACCCCAGGAGCCAGCCACTTCAGTTGGCTCTCTGCAGAGGCCAGAGAAGCGTTGGACTGGACTCTGGGGGGGAATAAATGTTAAACTTAAATAAACTAATTAATTAAATCTCTCACATGGTTAAGGTTATTGGGGAGCTTATAGCCTTTTTTTCCTGAGAAGCACAAGGGTCTCAGGAAAAGAGAAAGGAAAAGGTAATGAGTTGTTACTTAAGCTATTCAGAAAGGAAAAACACAAAGTGATCTATATATTTTTTAATATCTTGTCATTCATCCTTATGAGGTGAGTACTATTAGTGCCTCATTTTACAGTTTTACAGATTAGGAGACTGAGACCTAGGAAACCTAGAGAGGTCAAGCAGCTTGCCTAAGGTCACAAGATAAGTAACTGATATTGCTGGGATCCAGTCCTCATCTTTCTGACTCCAGTGCTCATTTTGAAGTTATGTTGACTGAGATTCACTGTCCTTATATCTTTTTTATTCATTGTATATCCCTACCTAGAATGTTTTTAACCACCCATGATGTTAGAATTCATCTTCTTCATTGATCAAGTGACTTCATACGTGCTTTGGGAAAATAAACTCTTCATGAAAGAAAATTGCTTAATTTTCCAAACTTTTAACATCACCCTCTGTTACTTAATTTCTGTCACTTGATCATAATAACTCTGATTACTGACATGTTAATACATTAGTCTGTAAGTGTTACAAACAGATATCACCCTAAATGTTTAGGTCATTTGTAGACCTATCAAACAGTACCATCACCTGAATAATCTTAATACTTTACCAATTTCCTGTACTACCTTTCATTTTACTTCCTTTAATGTCGTTGTAGAGAATGCTAGAGCATTTTTCTCTGTCAGTTGTCAGTAGATGATAATGGAACAGCAGTGAGGTAAGGGATAAAAGAACTAACTTGTTAATTGATAAAATTGCAAAGATTTCATTGTATTTGAGAGCTTTAAGTTAGGGACCTTACTGATAATATTACAGTTTTGATAATTACACAAAAGTTGGCAGTTTTCAGCTTGTGAAATGATTGATTCACAGCAGGCGAAAGGTCTGTCCCAACAAGAGAGTCATTTGGAGATGGTTGTTTATATATGGAAGATGATTTCTTAAACACATTTGAAATGTTGTAATGAATCTGAAAATGTAGTTCAGGATCACCCCAAACTACCATTCCATTTTTCTTTTAATAAAACACACATGAAGCCATTATTATTTGTTAGAAAATTTGTAACAAATGAAATATTAATTCTTAGTCTTACTATTGCCATTCTGCATATAAAAATTTTAATTTAACTTTTGAAATGGTGTATCTTCTCCTTATGAAAATACAGTGTTAAACTAAAGGACCAAACAAAGGAAAAAATGTACTTTCATTACTCCAAAAAATCTTAAATTACAAGGTCTCTAAAATAAACACTAATTTAGAAATACATATAAAACCTGACAACATTCTTTGGGTAAATACATTCTTTCCTACTCTCCTTTAATTTTGAATTATAGGTACTCGACCACCACTGATCAAAAATTTACCAAAGCCCATTGAGAGCCTGATGACTCGCTGTTGGTCTAAAGATCCTTCTCAGCGCCCTTCAATGGAGGAAATTGTGAAAATAATGACTCACTTGATGCGGGTATAATCCTTCTTTTGAGGGGCTTTGGGTTAAGGGGAATGTGATATATACTGAGTTTTAATGGAGTTTTAAGATAGGAGGAAATTATTGTAATTTTTTTTTTGCTTTATACCTTTTCCATAAAAGTATATTCCATATACTTTTCCATATTTCCAAGTTGCAAAGGGCATTTATTACTCATAATCAAAGGAGGAAACATTTGGGGGGAAAAAATCTAGTTCTTTATAATGAAAAGGCAGCTAGATAGGTTTTTGGCCAGATGGGTTTTTGGACTTGCTTTTTTTTCTCCTGCTTAACTTAGTGGATAAATGTGTTTGTTTCTGGCCTTTTGCCTCATATGTAATATGAGAGTAGCTGAGTTAGGTGATCTCAAAGGCCTTTATAGGACTTGGGTATTTTATTACTCTACCTGCTAAACTAAGTTTTTAATTTTCTTTAGTGCAAATCTTCATCAAGCAGTTATTTATACAAGGCCATAGAGAGATTGCATTCCGACACATTTACTTAAGTGATTTTTTTTTACCTTTTGTTTTTTCATTGTACATTTTCAGTCTTCTATTTGCTATTAAAAAGTTAGTTTTCTAGAATTTATAGAATTTTTAAATTTAGAACAACCCTTTTAAATGATTAGCAAAATTCCCTAGTCTATAAACGAAATACTTTTGGAATTATTTGAGTAATTTTAGGCCTCTTGTTTTTGGTTCACTAACAGAATCTATAAAGCAGTATTTTGACTTTTAAAAGTTAATATACTTAATAAAAGTACTTGAATTTCAGAACAATCTGCCCAATAGAAGAATTTTTCAATCGCCTTAAATATAGCTAAGTGATTTCCTAAATGGCCAAAGATTTAATTTGTTCATTCTGTTGAAAATTCAGGCAAATCACCTCAAACTAATGTGATTAAAACTTACCATCATATTTGGGTACCAGCTATATATGGAATTCTGGGTCCTGAAGATATGTTCGTAAAGAAACAACTTAGTCTCTGTAGTCAGATACCTTCAAACATTGGGATATATAAATCGTTCAAATCGCAGATGTGCAATTTGATAGAAGAAAATTTCAAGAAGAAAATCTTTTTTCTTAAAAAAGAAGAAAATCTTTTAAGAAGAAAATCCTATTTTTCCTAAGTTCTAATTTTTGTGCAATAAATATCCCTAATATTATATGTCCAGTTCATAGAGGGATATCCAAATCTAATCTTTTTACTTAAAATATTAGTTCTAACAATTATTCTTTGGCACACCAATCTCAGTTGTCAGACTAACAGTCATTTCAATAATTTGGATGTTTATGTCACTGCTGTGAGAACGTAAATATGTTTTATGTAATTACAAGGAATGATAAAACTATTGCATTTCATATAATCCTTATATTTCATATAAGAGAAATATTGCTGTTTTCTTTAAGACTTTGGTCTCAGTGTGAAGTACCTTCTTAGGTATAATAAGTGGCATTGATCACAATTGAAATTCAGAAAATGAACACATTATTGTCATCTTTATAAAATCAAAACCTTAGGTGTCTACTAATTCAGTTATGACTTAAGGAAAGTAAAATAGCATCTTTGCTACATTCAAGTTCCATGAAAATGAAATAAGTCCAATGTACTTGTTAATTTTCATAGGATTTTAATTTGTATTAAAGAAATTTTAAATTGGATTTACTTTGTTTTTATATATAGTACTTTCCAGGAGCAGATGAGCCATTACAATACCCTTGTCAGTATTCAGATGAAGGACAAAGCAATTCTGCCACCAGTACAGGTAAATAAATAGATTGAAATAGTAATAACTAAACTTTTTTGTATCTATCCCATGGAATTATAATTAAGAAGCAGTGAAGGATGTCCCCATTTGCAGTTTAATTTCTTCATTTTATACGATTGACTTCAATTTGAGTTTCTAGGTGCATCATTCTTCACGAAGGCCCAGATTGAAAGAACTCTGAAGACCTGCGTCAAAGTCTCGGAGTTCTTCCATAGCTGTATACAAAAACATTGGCTATTATATTGCTGTGAATGTCATTTCTTCTTTGAATCATTTTTATATAAATACTGCTACATTAAATAGTATTAGAAATTATTATAAATATATATAACAACATATTTCTTCACCATGCACACCCTACTTTTTTGCTCTTTGTAGAAGAGTCTACAGATACTCTTCTGTTTTAGTTCAGAGTTCTTTAGTTTTCATGAAGTAGTAGTGGGATTCATAGTTTGTGTTCATCAAAAAACATAGTAGAAGTAATACTGTAACTTAGAAAAATTGTACTGTTTTTTTTTTCTACTACTACCTTCAAACCCTGTCCCTATACTGTGACCATCTGCCGTTTGACCTTTCGCCGACCCTCAGTCCTCTTAGGTTCTTCTTTTTCTCCTCCACTGAATTCCAGGCAGTTGTTATAATTCCATTGGGAATAATCCTCAGCCCTCTAGCCTTGTCTCAGGATTGCTTGGCTAAACCTCAAGCCTGGTTAAATCTGACCCTCCTCTTACTCCTTGCCTGTGTCAGAGCAGCTGAACATGGCTGGAGATGACACATACTTTCTATCCTCAAATGCCTATTTAGTGCTTTGGACAAATGACTTGACTTTAGTCCCTCCTCCCTCTCCTACATGACTTAGTTTTATACTTTAGCCTTCTCCTCAAACTTTGAATACCTCCTCCCCACAACCTCGTTCTCAGCTGACCTTGTTTACTATTTCCCTGAAAAAAATTAGATTAATCGGAACTTGACTTCCACAAGCTCCTTCACTACAATGTGCTCATCTGTTCCACATTCTCGTCTGTTAGTGTGGCTGAACTGTCCCTGCCTCCAGCCAAAGGCAGGCCTGTGAACTCGTGTATTAAGTCCCATTCCAGCAGTTCTTCTGTCTCTTGCATCATCAGTTTCAGCCTTTCTACTGGTATCATTCCCAGAGCGTATATAATCTGTATTTATTCTTTAGCTTCTCTTCCCATTGTCTCTTGTGTCCACTCCTCTCAGGCTTTTATTATATATACCACTGCTCTAGATATGCACTTGTCAAGGTATCACCACTTATCTCCAAATTACTAAAACTAAATGAATAATTTTTAGTTCTCATCTTTTTTGACTATCAGTACCATTTGATATAGTTCATTACACTCTCCTTTTTACAGAACTTTCTTCAGTAGATTTTCAGGATACTATAGGAGCTTGGATTTTGTCTTATACCTCTGAGCACTACTCTGATGGTTTTGTATGATGGTTATTTCTTGTCTTCCCAGCCTATAAATGTTAGAGTTCTCAGGGCTCAGTAATTTGGCCTCTTTGCTTGTTATTTGGCCTTATTTCCTTGGTAGTCTTTTTTAATATCATGAGTTTATATACTATCTATCTGCTGGTGTTTTGATCCATCACAGACCTGAACTCCACTCTTATATCCAATACTTGAATTCTAATAACTCAAACATCATTTTCCAAAATAACCTCCTGATAACCCGCTTCACACTCACTCCTGCCATGGTTTCTCCATCTTGATTAATAACCACTTCATACTACTGGTTCAAATTAACAACTTTAAAGTCATCTTTGACTATGAGAAGACTGTTCAGCATTTTGGTTCCCTTTTTGTGCTATTCCTAAATTTTATTTAAAATGTAAGTTTTGGAGCTATCTTCATTAGCTTGGAAAGTATTGGTTATTTCCATTTATGTCTTAACTAATTTAGAAAAGAATTTATTTTATATATTGAATGAAGTATTTATATTATTCCCAATTTATAATCATAAATGTTTCTGTTTTCCTAGGCTCATTCATGGACATCGCTTCTACAAATACCAGTAATAAAAGTGATACTAATATGGAGCAAGTTCCTTCCACAAATGATACTATTAAACGCTTAGAATCAAAATTATTGAAAAATCAGGCAAAGCAACAGGTTTGTTTTGTAATTAAAAATAAAACCATTAGGTAACCTTACTAGGAGCCATAATGTTATACCAGCTGAAGTGATTTGCTATCCTCCATTATACAAATTCTGAACATTGTGCCTGAAACATAAGCTTAGGAGTAGAGACATATAGCAAGAATCTTTTCTTACTAAATTGTTTTCCTTTCTGATAATTGCTGCATTTGCTAACCATGCAGCTCCCTCCCTACAGTGATCCCTAACTTTAACAGTTGATATTTAAAACTATAAAATGGCAATTTCATGTACTATTTCATGTCATTCAGATTTATTATATTTTTGCTATTATTGGTTGAAAAATATTTTAAGATGTGATTTTATTCATTTTGCCTGAAGCATTTACATTTAGGTTAACTAGTAATTGGAGCATATAACTCCAAACTCCAGCAACCACCCTTTTCTAAAGGCCAATCACTATCGCACCTTGCTCTCCCTTAGCCCTGTAGCTCCCTCTCCCTGAAAACTTGCCTTTTCTTTCAGAAAAAGAACAGAACCTATAAGAACCCCAGTTAGTATGCTTTCTTCTCCTAAGCTGTCTAGCAGTTTAAACCTAAAGAGTTGTAGTAATTCAGATTGACCTGTAATTTTAACAGAGTGAATCTGGCCGGTTAAGCTTGGGAGCTTCCCGTGGGAGCAGCGTAGAGAGCTTGCCCCCAACCTCCGAGGGCAAGAGGATGAGTGCCGACATGTCTGAGCTAGAAGCCAGGATTGCTGCGACCACAGGTAAAAAGGAAATAAAAGTCTGAAAAGGAGTGAGAATGATAGTTTCAGTTGTTTCAGTAGAGAGAATATTGGGATTTTGTGTCTTAAAATTTTTTAAAGCAGGAAGTAGCTTACAATATACTTTCTAAGCTTCTATCATAATTTATACATTTCTCTCACATTCCAAATAAGGAATATATGACTTACAAAATTAAGCAAATGTAATTCAGTGCAAACATGACCAGAAAATCTGTATGAGAAATTGAAATTTTGCCAAAACCAGAATGTTTTGGAAGTTCTTGAGTGACTCTACTAGAATTTTGTGCTAAACTCAAATAATAGCAAATATTTTATTTTGAAATTAGAAAAAAATGTATTCTAGATTCACATGATATGGCCTTACTGTTGGCTCCTTCTGCCAATGACAAAGATAGCTAAGTTGGTTGTGGTTAATGATTGTAATTGTAAAAATAAAAGATCATGTTAATTTAATTTGATCTTGAAAAAGCTAACATTTAAATTTCATTTTGTCAGTTCTTAAAAATGATTAAATATAGAAGGACTAGTCACACAAAAATACTGTATGTCTTAGTACCTGAGTGAATGTCTACCCTTCTTTTTAACCAGGTTTCATTTTAGTAATGCTTGGTTTAATTTGCTTTTTTCCCATCCCAGAGGTGGAGGGGAGCTGATTTTAAAAGTAAATACATTTCTGTTGTGAAAAATATGGAAATATAAACAAAAAATTCAGTCTTTGTCAGTTGTCCCACTCAGAAATAAACACAACATTTTTATGTATTTACCTCTAGTCTTCTAACTGTGAATATATATATATATTTTTAAATTAGCTAACCAGGTTTTTTTTAGGTCTTTTGTCATTCATTTGTTTTTTTTTTCTAAGTTGAATATTCTCATTTTGTGTGGAGTTCTTCTCAAAAAGAAGTTGTCCAGAGGACCAACCTACTATACTTGCCTTCAACTAACCATGATCACTGATTTTATTATTTAGTATTAGAATCAGGTCAATAAAACAATATACAAAATAACAGTGTCTTTAACCCATAAACTTTTATTGTTCACACTTAAACAAATCTGGAGGTCAGCTCCATGGTCATTAAGCAACTGGATTCCTTCTGCCCCTTCGTGCCACCATCCCTCTAGTGTGACTTCCATCCTCAGGGATACTCTGTGCTCCAGATGGTTGTCGCAGTTCCAGTCATCACATCCACACAATACAGGCCACAGGAAGGAAAAATTAAGAAAAGGCTGAAAAGGCACATGCCCAGGCTTTTCAAGGAGCTTTTCCAGAAGTTCCCAAGAACAACTTCCACATACATGTTATTGGCCATACATGGTTCCAACAAAAAGAAGGATCTGTGAAGTTTTAACTGGGAACATTGCTGTCCTGAGTAAAACTGAGGTTTCTGTTGTTAAGAAAGAAGGGGAAAATAATGATTGGCGGGGCATAAGCATCTCTGCCACACAGATTGGGCTTCAGAAACAATCAAGCTGATTGGAAGTCACAAGCCACTGACAAGCTTTCCTGGTCTCCATGAGTCAGAAGTGTTTCTGTGCAGGGAGGGAGTGTCACTGTAATGTCAGATGAGTGTGGATCTACCCTTACACTTTGGGGAATCTTTCCCACTTTGGGGATATCATTCAAGGTAGACCTGCCAAATAGTGATTGTGACTCTAAAACAGGAAGTAGTGCTATAATTATTTTGTGTCTGCTAGTGTTGATTTTCTAGTCAGGTACTGGTTTATAATTATTTTCTATAGACGTGCTAGTTCACTAGGGTAAAGATAACCACATATTTAAATTACCCTATCCTTTTTTTTGCCTAAATGTAGAACAGATGCTATTGAACAGCCCTTAAATTCTACACAATTCAGATTTTTTTAGTGCAATGCCTTACTTTGAAAGGTTCGTATTCTCCAGCTTTTCAACACTGTGTTTAGTGGGACTATATCCTAAACTTTGGAAAACACAATAAATATTCAGTTTACCAAAAGTAGTATAAATATTTATCATTATAAAAGCTTATACATTTTATACTTTAATTCAATAATTATCATTTAATCAATGAGTTTTACTTTGTAGTATACTCCAAGAAACACCTAACTTGAACATATATTTCTGTACTTTTGTAATTAAAACAAACATGGCAGCTTATTCCTTTCCATTCTTCTTTTCCTTCCTGCTTCCATCCTAGCCACCCCCCACCCCATCACATATCAGTAGTTTCACTTAGGTAGATTGTTTCTGTAAACATGTTTGAATTTAGCTTCCTCGTTACCCTGCAGCTTTGTTTGTCTCTGTCCATTTTGTGTGGGGTTTTTTGTTTTGTTTTGGTTTGGTTTTTTTGCTTTTTGTTTGTTTGTTTTGTTTTTTGGCTAATTGAAGCCAATATGTGAAACATCTTGTATTGGTAGTCATTTGCTTTTTAATCCCGCCTTTTCTGAGCATGGATGAAGAGTCAGATAGTTCTGCATGCCTTTCTGCATGGAGTGTTATTAACATAACTATTTGAAAACTATTCTGTTTTTGTAATTTATTGTTTTGTGTTACCGTTTGTGGTTGTTTGCATGTATACTGTATATATATGTTTTTGCAGCCTGTTCCAAGCCTAAACCGGGCCACCGTAAAACTGCTTCATTTGGCAACATTCTGGATGTCCCTGAGATCGTCGTATCAGGTATCATAGACCACCTGAGTTGGTCTAATAACTGTGGAACCGGAATAATGATCCCTGGTACTTATAAAATGCTTCTTGCTCCAATTTTTATAGGACATGAAAATAGATACCTTGCATGCAGTAATTAGGGAGACAGATTGAGAACTGTATACACTTATCTACACTGAAGTGGGCTTGACAGGATACCTCAGATATCCAAAAATGAGGATAAACTAGAAGGCAAAGTAAACCTTTTCACAGAAGGGAGAATGCCAGCCCAGACTTTACCACCTTCCTCTCAGCTTTTAGGTGAGTAGATAAATTGAACCCAGACCTGTTTTGCACCCAGCAGAAAGAGGAACAACTACTTGTATTTAAAAGTACTTGTTGTCCTTGGCTCCTTTTCTTCCTAAGTCACTACTTTTGGGGTTCCCTCTAAGCTTTCTGTCCCAGCCTCTTTCTGTTGGTAGCAAGTAAAATACGAAGTTGAAGAGAGAGTTGCTAAATACGATTTTGCCTTAACTTAGAAAATAGATGCAAAGTAAAATTAAGTGAGATTTGCTGTTTTGCATGGTATCTTGCCAAAGAATCATGGTCATTTCCGATTCTTGTATATTATCAGGAGAATCTTCTTGCAAATTACTTGTTTTTATACCTAACTCACACATGGTACTCAGTGTCTCAAATTGCTAAATTACCTTTATTTCCTATAGTGATGATTTCACAGATAAAATCTTAATCACCTTTTTTGATAGAAACTTAAATGGCATGTGTGACCTTCAGTATTAGTTAATGTATGTTATCCAAATTATCATTTCTTTATTCCTCTGCTTTAGGTTTTCCTTTACCTCTTTCCCCAAAATTTTGATAAGAAAATGTACAATTTTCCCACACACACTCATGGGTGTGCTTTGGGAGAATTCTCCAGCACTGTGTTCTTTGCCTATGATTGTGCTTTCAGCATATACTACTGTGTTATAGTTGAATACCTGGTGGTTGCTTTCTCCTCTAGTAAACTGAGAACTGAGGATAGAGTTGATGTCTTTGTTATTTAGTATTTTTTTAAGATTTTATTTATTTACTTTTAGAGAGGGAAAGACAGGGAGAAAGAGAGGGAGAGAAACATCAATGTGCAAGAGAAACATCAATAGGTTGCCTCTTGCATGCCCCCAGCCAGGGACCTGGCCCACAACCCAGGCATGTGCCCTGACTGGGCATCTAGCCGCAGCCTTTCAGCTTTCAGGATGATGCTCAACCCACCGAGCCACACCAGTCAGGGTTCTTATTTAGTGTTGATTGGATCAGCACTATCATACATAGTGTTTAATAAATGTGTGCCTGTTAAACAAATGAACAAACTATTATTGAGGTCCAGTGACCAGGAACTAGTATACATATAAAAACTGTATAAATTAAAAATATGTATAAAATAAGTTACACAATTTCTATATTAATTTTTCTGGTTATCAAAGTAGTTTGTAGTACCATTGCTCTTCAGAGAATAGAATTAACCTATTTTTTACATAGTAATGTTATTTATTGAGTCAGGGGCTATCTTCAAAGTTAGCAAGTACCTGATATCATTTTAACTTTCATGCTGAAAGGTACTATGTTTACGGGAATAATATTCTAACTAAGCGGCAACAGTTTAATGCACATATTGCTGAGCTGTGATGATAATATTTTGTTTGAGGGAATCAGGAAAATTTAAGCAAATGTAGTATAATCTTAATCCAAGTCTTAAGAGTAGGCTTAAGAATACACACACACAATAGGCGATATAGCCAATCCTGTACATGGTCAGGGAGAGAGGAGAAGATAATAAATAGTCTCAGTGATCCTCAATTAGGGTGAATTTGCCCCTCAGGGAACATTTGGCAGAGTGTAGAAACATTTTTGGTTGTCACAAGTAGCAGGTGCTGTCGGCATGTAGTAGGCAGAAGCCAGGGATGCTGCTAAACATCCTACACTGTCCCAGACATCCTCCCACAGCCAAGATTTGTCCAGCCTAACATGTCACCAGTGCCAGTGCTAAGAAACCCTGGTTAGATATATGCTCTGTGTGTTCTGTAAAGTAGTTTAAAATACATCATCTTAGTTGACCTTCATAACAGTCTTATAAGTAGGATTATCAAGTAAAACTGTGTGTAGTATAGCTGTTTTACAGGTATACAGGTAACTTAGGTCTGATGATGTTGAGTGTCTTTCCCATAGTCACACAGGCAGTATTCCAACCTAGATCTTTTGACTCCAGATAACATCCATTTTCTCCTCTTCAGTTTGAGTCAGAGAAAAAGAGTAATTCCATCTCACTCCTCCTCATGATTTGCATTAAAGAGAGCCCTTCAGCCACGAGACACTCTTTTCTGACACTGGATCCTTATGGAGTCAGGAAACCTTAATTCTACACTTAATTGCGAGAGCAACAATGCTGTTCAAATGGAAATATTATTCAGTAATACATTTCATTAAATGTTCTTACTGTCTTTTCCCCCAAATGTCCAACATTAACCTAATCAGTTTTTGCTTTCTTTTAATAAGAGACTGCAGGTACTGGAACTGAAACAGTTAGACATAAAAGCCAAATATTAACTTGTTCTTAAGTTGTACTTTATAGTTAAAAATACAAATATAAGCCATACTTTGAGGACATCTCTATTATCTTACATGGACATATTTATTATAAAGGAGGATCATATTTATTCTCCTAATTTATTAATACCTTCCAGAATTTTTTTTCCTTAAAGTCAGTTTCCCACAAGCTATGGGTTATTACCAGATATTTATTTGATCTATCTAAACTGATAATACATTAGATCCCAGTTATAAGCATTTTTTAAAATATAGCTATATTTTTTATTTTATCTATTATGGATAGGTATTAGAGTTTCAATAACACTTCCTTTGGCCAAAGCAATATACTGAATCTAATATATTTGAAACAAACTGACATTTTAAATAAGATTTAAATAAGAACATTCTTTTAAGCATGACAAAAATTGTTATGTGTACTTACTAACTACACAAATATATCTTCTTTGAAGTATTGGTTACTCCTGGCATTTTTAAGTTTTAAAATTTTTTAAATATACACTATTGCTCAAAATAATTTTTAAATTTTTAGCTGTGGACATTATTACAGATGTCCCCCATTTCCCCTGCTTTGCCCACCTTTACCCAGCCCCCATCCCTCCTTCTCCTGGCCTTCACACTGTTGTCTGTGTCCATGGGTCAAAAGAATTTTTGTTAAAAATACTTCTTTATAACGACTGAACTGCCTAAACCTAGTCCTAGGTAAACAAATTCAAATCTTGTTTTTTGTTTGATCTTCAACACGGTTATGTATTATGCCATCATTTATGAGGAAGAGCAAACAACCTTAGCCATTGGCTAACAACAATATTCATCAGTTTAGTAGTCTCTTGAGTCAAGTAATAATGGACCTATAATACCTCAGGACTTCCTATGTGTGGATCAGACTATGCAGTTTTGATACTTGTACAGTGGCCCCGGCTCTAAAAAGTATTAGTAAAGGAATATGAAATTTGTGACAGCCTAAATAAGAATATATGTTTTAAAATCACGTTTGGTTTACTCTGAAGCAGTACTATAATACTGCAGAGTAAAATGCTATTCAGATTTCTAAAATCTTATACATTTTACACACAAAGAGCACATTGTCCCACAACTTTTAATATTCAAAGCTATGGATCTCCGGATTTTTAACATTTTAGTTAGGAGATGTCTCCAAGAAAATGTAGTGTTGATTTTTACTTGAGATTCTTGGGAAGTTTGGAAAACTGAAGAATTAGAGTAGCTAGCTAAGGTAAGGAAAACCCTGACCTTGCTTAAACAGGTAAGAAAAGCCACAGGAGTGACTGAGACCTAAGCTGATGATGGCCCCTGGAGGAAAGAACTCTGGTGTCTTTCATGTACCAGCTCCGGAAATCGGCTGTACTTAATAGAGCAGCTTTTTGAAGAGGTGGATTCTGTTTTTGTGACATTATTGTAGAAACAACTGAATTGGCCTGTAAGCTACTATTCAGCCACCCTTTCTTTTTTAGGAGTGGGAGGTAGGGTAGCCCAGGGATATAGTGTATTCCTTTTGTTGCTCTTACTTAAAAAGGTTGTTTTTTTTTAATATTGTTTTCTATCATAAGTCATGAAAAGTTCCAGAATTCATTACAGAATTGAATACTAAAGACATCGTTTCAGGTTTCAGATTTCTTGATCAGGCATCTCGCCCCTCTTTTCTGTTTCTTTTTCCTTTTATACTACCATGTGTAACATAGGTATGCATATATCAAGGAACCACAAAAAATGTAAAGCAAGTGAGTTTCTAAATTAGTACTTAGTTGCAAACAAATTCAGAATCAATCTAATTTACTAAGAACACACCTAGTAATTTTCATTTTTAATAATAGGTATTTGATTTTTTTACATTCATATTGGTAAATTATGACCTAAACTTAATATTGGAGCAACAAGTATCTCGATTACAGCCCTTTTTTGCTTTGTCTGAACTGTATGCCAGATGGTTTCTGCCATGGTTATGCAAATTAAAATGCATTGCTTTAATATTGCTTGCTTTGGCTCATGCTGTAGCTTAAAAACTTTTCATTTTATGGCATTTGTTAACTGTCAGCTCTTCTTTAGCCTACTTCCTTAGAAGTTTTTACTTCCCTTTCCTCTTACCCCCACCTAGATTTGAGTTTGTTTTTGTTGTTATTGCAGTGGTGATGTAATGAGTTTTAGACACATGTACTAGGTGGTTCCCCAGATTCACAAAGGTTGCTTATCTGAAAAGAGAATTCCAGACACTTTTACAAGCCTGTCTCATGCCTGCTAATTTTAGAATGATTGTGTTGAATGAAATGTGCCTAAAATTGCTTATTAGTCATAGTACTGAGGATCTTTTTTGCCCTCCGGCACCAGTGATAGTTAAAAGTTTTCACAAAACTATCTTAGTGTGAGTGAGTGAGTAAATGTGCAGTTTGTTATGTTAGTTTGTAATCAGAAGTTGGAACTTGGAATAAAATGAAATTTGTAATACATTCTTGAGTTACAGTTATACAAAATTCTAAAAAACTTAATATGGAAAAGGGTAATGATGTTTTATACTTTTAAGGGTGGCTATAAATTTGACTTTTTGTATTCACAATTGAACATTATTATTTTATTGTAAGGTCCTTTTAGTTTATGTGCAGAATATAATAAGGGGATCACATGGATTAAGATGCTAAATTATGTTCCTCATCAGTTTAAAATAAGATACTTATGATTATGGATAAATTTTAAGAATGAGTTCTGCCTGCTAACAGGCCACAACTGTTAAGAGTACATCTTCCTGGGCTGCCCACTGTAGTTGGGAAATTACTTAACACAACTTTCAGAATCAAAAGAATTTTGAGTATTTTGTCAGCTGTTATTCATAATATTTTGGTGTTTCCTTTTAGACAGCTGATCTCTCATCTTGTACTGTGTGAACATCCCTATGCCCAAATAAAAGTGCTGAATGCAGCTATTGCTTAATTCATTCTCTTTTGCTGAAAACTTAAATTTGTAGAATTCTTTCATAAACCAAAATTTAAATTATTACAGCATAGAAGTTTCTAAAGCCCAGGCATCTTTTCAGGCCCTGAAATGAACAAGGTACTGCTGTTGGTTAAAAGTCATGTCTTACAACCTGATAGCTGTCTTGCTGTAGAAGCGTAACGTAAGGCCCTTGAAATAGATGCCGTCATCAGTCCCATCCCCCAAGCATTCATCTATTTAAATACATGACAGAAGATGGTGGGAGAAAGTTCAGCAGCTATTCGTGTAGTAGGAGTGGTTATTGTATTAGGGCATACTTCACTACAGGCTGGCAACTTTTGAGTTAAAACACTGCAGCTGTTTCTCTTCTTTTTTTTACATCTTTCTCTTTTTCCATTTTATAACAAATTCACTTTTTTCACAAACATTTTGTGTAGATTCAGAAGCAACAAGTTCCAACTTCCTACTGTAGCAATTACATCCTTATTGTCTGACTAGATTTCAGTATTTTACATTTTTTTATTTTTCAAAAGGCAACGGACAGCCAAGACGTAGATCCATCCAAGACTTGACTGTTACTACAACAGAAGCTGGTCAGGTAAGACTTAACATTTGAATTCTCAGTCGTTGAATGGTAGTAATGGGTAGTATTCAAGAATTAACTGTAATATATATACTCTGCAAAACTATTCTATGAACTGACCTAAAATTGTGATACAGAAGTTCATTTGCACATGTGATAGAGTTCATTTGCATTTGAAGTTCTTAGGAGAAAAAAATCTACATGCCATTATTAATTTAACTTGAAGGATAATTTAGGAAAGTTGGATTAATTCAAGAGTGTCCTGTGCATGTTACATGATTTTTATATATGCTTTAATAAGGAAGTATTTGGTTTTGTAATGAAGTAATTTGTCATTACCATTGTCCTCTATAGGGAATCATTAAATATTTCCCTAATAAGATGTCATTTCTCTGCAATCACATAGGACACTGACATACCTGAAGGACTCTTAACATTTTTTAATTTGTCATATTCACTGGATTTATACTTTTATGAAAAATATTAACTAAGTAGATGGGTAAACTGTAGAATGACTTCTGTCCCATTGGTTAAGATTTTCATTCTTCATCTTTATATTTCTGGCTGTTCTGCTAAACGCCCCTTATCTCTTTAATACTGCTTTTTTGTAGATGAGCCAGACAGTGTTATAATTAAGCCATAACTGACTAGTACGGAGTTTTAACCCACCAAGTAAAGTTGCAGCTCAGTCATTGTCTTCTTGTCTCTTACTCAGATTGATAAACTTAACATATATAATACATACCTTATATATGTCATATTCTTAAAATGAATGGGAACTATGAGGTGTTTGTTTTCAGTTGTGCAGAAATAATAAATTTTGAGTACAGTATGCATCTGAAGTAATAAAAATATCACATTATTCATATTCATATAAAATTATAGGATTATATATTATAAATAGTGTGTCAATTTATGGTAAGATATATGAATACTATTTATCCTAGAAAGATGTTTTATTATTTCATTTTTATGATATACTTTGAATTTTGGAGATTCTTTGTAGTTGTTAATAAAAATTACTCCTCACAATGCCTGTACACACACTCATACACACCGATGTGCACATGCATAGATAAAATATATATACACATTAATTTATTGTTTATTTTATGATATTAAGTGACCCTAGATCTTGATTTTATTTATTATTAATAGCAGCTTTTTCAGTATATCTGCTTTTGTGAAACTTCGGAACTTTTGAAAGAAGTTTCCCACTTTTCACCTCTTCGGGCACTTAAAGTATTAATCAGAGCACTTAGTAACATAGTTTAACGTATCTGGTATTTGCTCTGATTCCTTAAAGGCTTGATGACCTCAGCCTTTTTAACTCTTTACTATTGCCATTGATATTCCTGTTATGAGAAACTCTAGCCAAGTATTTTCCCATTGACTAGGAATGAGAAGCTTGCCCTAAGACAGTTTAGAAGCATCTGCTAGTACAAATGCTTTTCTCTGTACTCTAATAGGCATTGCTATAATTCGAGACCGACCTCACCATACAAAGCCTTACTTATTTCCTCACAAGTTCTATGTTACTTGAGATTATGATTGTTAGCCTTGTTTACGATATCTCCAGGTAGTAAAACACTGGAACTAAGGCAGACTGGTTGTAGGACACTCATTTACATGAATTGTCGTGGATTACTCCAGAAGATTTGTCATGGGGGGTGTGTGTGATATGGCAGTAAAATACGTTCTAAAATAGGTGATGCATAACTTATGTGTAGACAGTTTTTAAAATTGATTCCCTCTTTCAAAATTACTTAAGTATTGGAAACTTAAAATGCCTAATATCCACTTTAGGATGAGAATGGCCAACAGTAACCCTAATGTACTATGAAAACATTTCCCCCTGAAAATGTTAATGATAATTGAGCATTAAATAATTTATATTACTTATGAAAATAATAATATTGGAAGAAGAAAAGTTTGCACAATATGCATTTTCAAAATTGAAGGCATAGTTCTTTTTAGAGGCTGGCTAAGCAGCGATGAAACACACGCACAGGGTTGGTGGGTTTGTTCGTTTGTTACAGCCACGAGGGTTGATGAAGACTGTGAAGAAAATAATTTGCCCACCTAGTACAGTCATCAGAGGAAGAGAGAAAGCTTTCTAATAAAGTTTTAACATTTCACCTCGTAGGGGAAAGTAAACTTACCAGAGTCTATATTTTTTGGCTCTTGGTTCAAGACTGATCTTATAATAAAATCACTTAGACTTTCCATCTATAAACTACAATTAACTTAGATTTTATACTACCATTTTTTATTGAGAGGCATAGTGAACCAAGCAAGCTTCTTTATTAAAAGTAGTTGTGTAAGTTTTTTTGTAAACTCAAAATACACAAATCGCTTTTAAATTAATTAATTCAGATATTTATTCAAGAAGCATATTACTAAGCACACATAATGGATCTGACCTCCTAGATGCTTTGAAAAGATGCTGAGAAAAAGCAGCCCGATGTTCACAAACTGACCTGATGCTGAGGCCTCAGTGTTACTGGAACATAAACGGTTTCTCAGAACACCAGTAGGCAAGGCTATGTTGGGACCATTATGAGATGAAACAAGACCATTTTGTGATGCTGTCTAAGCACAGACAAAAAGAAGGTCCCCGTGCCACCCACAAAATGTCACACATTGCCTTCTCCCAGCTGACTGAATGACCGCTGCTGCTCTTCCAGTTGTAGTTTTATCCTCACTCTGGTCTGTTCTCCCTGTAGAGTTGCTCCTGCTTTCTGGCCCCATCTGGAGTGAACCCCTCCTTCTCTGGAGCCTGCCCAAATCATAAAACAAAATTCCAAATCCTGTAATAAGCTCTTTCTAAAACCCTCTTACAGAGACACCTCACAGTGCCCCATGGTGAATTTTTTGGTTCACTGCAACAAAAATTGAAACCAATTTGTCTTACTGTAGGTGTGTTCCTGGTGGCCTTTGGCTAGGGGACATAGACTACCAAGAACGCCCAATCCCCAAGGAGCATATTTGGGCAGATCTTATCCCCACAGCACTTTTTAATAACAGATGCTGTTTGTTTATTATGTACCAACTTTGTGCCAGTCAGGCCTTTAACATACGATATTTAATCTTCATCCTGTAAATTTGTATTACTTATTTTCCTCATTTTGTGGATCAAGAAACTGGGGGTTAGAGAAGCTTACCTAAGTCTCATTGTCAGTAATTGCTGTCACCCAAGTTTTGAATCCATATCTGATATCAAAGCACCCAACCTCTACACTTCTATCATTCCATTGTGCATATAAAACTGAATGTAACAGATGCTAAAGTAATCCCAGAGCCCTTTAATTTCAAGTGTTTTGGCTTCTGGTAGTCTTCATTGTCATTAATTAAATAGTTTTGCAGTGATGATGAATTTCTGCTGCATCGTGTTGTTGAGTAAGTCTAACCCACCTTGATAATAAACGGCTACAGATGACTGCACAAATTTATGTTTTATACAGTTGGGTTAACCTTTCTGTGGTTCACTAAAATTATGCATCTCGTGTACACCTGCTGGGAATGTATCCAATACAGGTCTATTTATGAGATTTCTCTTAGAGGGGACTAAAGTCAGTAAAATCACAACTGCAAGATGATGCAATTACAATTATTTGGAAAGGTAGACATACTAAATTTTTGTATGGAGTTTAAAATCTACTTTTACTAGTCAGATATGTGACTAGGCTTCAGTAACCTTATCTGCCAGTGCGGACCATAATGCCCACGCCTCAGGGTTATAACATATAAAAGTACCAGACACACAGGAGATGCTTAATATTATGAGCCTTGCCTTCCAGGGCTCTTACCACTTCCTTGCTTTCTCTGTAGTGTATTACAATTTAGAAGTAAAACAACAACAAAAAAAACACTTGGAAAGAAGTAAAATCTGTTGGCACTCTATTCTTTCTGTATCAGAAGAGAAGTTTCTATCAGGGATTATGGAAAATATTTGTCTTAAAGGCCTGTTACCACATACCCAGAGATGTATTATCATACATTGTTTTATTTAAGAGATGTAATTTATTATACTACTTTTTGTCCATCCTCAATCTGTACCTTTAGTGTAAATAATTTTGTGTTAAAACTAAATCAGAAACTTACGTAATAGTTGTCATAGGAATTTTATATTTTTCTGTTAGAGAATTTAAAGACCAAATAAGAATAATAAAATTCTAAAATTTTTTCATAATAAACTGTAAGTGAAGCCAGAATTAAATTGAGCCTATACCTTCAGATTAGAAAAAATGTATTCAGTGCGTACTGTCGTGTGCAAATTTAATTGGATTAGCTGTGGCTGTCATAATGGTGGAAGTACACTTGTAAATGTGTGTTACCAACCGATACCCATTTCTTTGTAATACTTGTTATTCAGATGTTACTTTGGCTAAAATATTATATAAATCAACATTTAATCTCTGTTTAGTGCTTGTATAATTTTAGCAACTTGAGATTTCTGAGTGTTTTAAATAGCTTTAAAATGTCAGTCTAAACAGTAGTACTGGCCATAAATTCTTGCCCCATGAAAATATTTTCCCAGTCTTTCAGGTGAGACATAAAAAGAAGCAAAGCTTTATTTTTGTCTGTAAAATAACACCCAATTTCTTTTTATAAATGATAGAGATAAAGTTCTGGTCAAAGTCCAATTCTCATTCGTGTCTACCATGGTAAATTTGCCCCTGCAGTTTAAATTTGGCTTAGTATTCTTTTGCTGCCTTAAATTGCTATGTGGCATTTCTGTATTCTCGTAACCACTTTCGTATCCAATCCCTCTGGTAAGTCAAGTTTTCTATATCTCTTAAACTTTGCAGTTTAGTAAGCATAGAATAAAGTCATTATAAATGTCTTGAAGGAAGGAGCACCCTAAGTAGGTTAATAGAGTGAGAGAGTTTATGGCCATCTGAATTTTACCAGTCATTGTTTTAAAAAATAGCTGTTATAAAATAAGGCATCTTCCATAGCAAATTGTAAACAGTAACATAAATTGAACCCACAAACTAGGTTTTTGTAAATTGTCAGATATTACCTGTTCCTCTTATTTATACCTTTTATTTTTCAGGTATTAAAAATATATAATTATGGTTGTATTTTAAAAAAAAATTTTAGTTTTTTTCTACAAACATATACATATTATGTTATTTGTTGAGATATTATAAATATATGAGATATTCCTTGAGTTATGAAGTCTTTTTATGTATTTAAATTTAGCTCATTAGAACTTTTCTTGTAGCTTTAAGGAAAGACCAGTTTTAAAACTTGACCTAAAAATATTAGCCTTATTTTTTAGTTTTATAGCAATAGCAAATCTCAAGTAGAAAAAAATGACTGTGCACTTTAGGTGCTATCGAAGAGTTTCTTGGAAAATAGACGGTGAAAAATAAGTTGCAAAGAATTCTCTTGAAAAAGATAGAAACTTAAGAAATGCTGTAATACATAGTAGATCCAAATAGGATTATTTGTTTCAATATGACAAATGTTCAGTGGCCTTTTTAATATACAAAATCCATTCTTTTATATTTAAACCTGATTATTAGTTGTATCTATTAACATAAAATTAGGTTGACTGTGAAGCCCTCCTCTACTAGCACTTTGAAGAAAAATTATTCTTGTTTTACAATAGAAATTAAAACTGTGGTCAAATCAGTGTACTCTTTTTAAATCACAAGACCTGTTTTCAGTAAAATAGGTTAAAAGGACTCAGTAAGAATAATATTTGTACTTGTTTTACCAAGGGTAACAGCAGCATTTTAAAAATAAGAAATCTATTTCCTGACTGGTTCTCTCTGGTGTGTATCGTTATTCTTCTTACACATTGTGTAAAAGGGAAATAAGCCTAAGCAGCACCAGTCATATTTCTGAGTGCCAGCAGCTTGTATTATTACCTTATTCAATGAGTATTGATTATGTGGTTATTGTATAGTCAGTCATTTCCTAAATCATGGGAGTATAAGACAAAAGTACATATGAGATTATTATGCTTTTGCAAAATCACAAACTTTAAAAGTAGTATAAAGCATTTCTGGATCAAATTGAAGTTTATGTAGGAACAGACTGTAAATACAGCCAAAACTGAAGGAGAAAAGTCTGCAGTAGGGTTTAAGTCACTATGTGTGTTTTATATAAGAATTATTATGTCTGCCATGTGTGCCATGAAACAAAAAAGTTTGAAAATCGCTGGACTAAGTCATGTAAATTTGCTGCATTTAACTGTTTTTGACCTATAAAAGTGGCAGTTACATATAGCTCAGCTTCATACATGCTCTTTGCACTATACCATACAGTTCTTGAATGACTCTAGGTCCAGATTAAAAGCAGGGAGGGAAAAGGCATAAGGAACTGTCAGAGGAGGGACGTTCTGTATAGGTAAGGTAAACCTGCGGATAGAAGTTCAGGAATGCCAGGGTGAGAATTTCAGAACTGACCCAATAACAACCCATAAACATTTTGTGTGCTGCACACTGCTATAGGCATTCCTCATCCTTGAACTTGGAATTAAATATTTTTCTCTTAAGTGCTTCTTTAGTTGTATGCCACAACTTTTAGCATGATTAGAGTTAAAATTCAATTCAAATATTTTTTAATTTCCATTTTTTTGACCAGCGAGTTATTTAGAAGTGTCTTTAATGTTAAAACATGGGATTTTTTTCAAGATTAATTGTGAATCAATACAAAAAGATCAGTTTGTATGAAAATAAATTTTTTTAAGATCTGTTTTATAGTTTAGTACATGATCAGTTATCATGAATGTTCCGTGGGTGCTTCAAAAATACATATTCTCATTTTTCAGACATAAGGTTCGTGGGGTTTAGGTTATGCTATGTGTATATTTTGGGTTTTGGTCTGATTTTATGTATCATTTACAGAGGATTAAAATATCTCACTATGATCGTGAATATTTCTCTTACCATTTTATTGCTTTATCTGTTTGGAAGCTATGTATAGGTGTAGCACATATTGTTATAAGCACGGCATGTAAGTTTTGAATTGTGTTATCAATTGAATCATTTATATCTCTTTCCCTAATAATTTTTTGCTCTAAAATATATTACTCTGATATTAATATATATATAACTTTATTTTGGGTAGTTTTTGCCTGGTTATCTTTTTTCATCCTTTAGCTTTCTGTTTTCTCTATCTCTGTGAATCATATATGTCTCTTATAAATAGCATTTAGTCTAGCCTGGCTATCTGATTTTTTAAAAATGTCTTAACTGAAGAGTGTAATGCATTTATGTTTATTATGACTGCTAACAAATTTATTATCTCTTATTATATGCTTTATTTCTCTTTTTTCCTCCTTTATTATCTTTCTTTGAATTCAATAAATATATTTCTCATTCCATTCTTTTTTTTTTTTTTAAAGATTTTATTTATTTATTTTTAGAGAGGGAAGGGAGGGAGAGAGGGAGGTGGGCGGGGGGAGAGAGAGAGAGAGAGAGAGAGAGAGAGAGAGAGAGAGAGAGAGAGAGAGGGAGAGGGAGAGGGAGAGAGAGAGGGAGGGAGAGAGAGGGAGAGAGAGGGAGAGGGAGAGAAACATCAATGTGTGGTTGCTGGGGGTTATGGCCTGCAACCCAGGAATGTACCCTGGCTGGGAATCGAACCTGGGACACTTTGGTTCCCAGCCCGCCCATTCCATTCTTTTTTAATCTGATTTGGGAGTTAGATATCTTACTACTAGTAGTAATTACCTGGGAAATTTTAACACTCATTCCCAACCTAAAGTTAGTATTTTTACCCTAACTGTAATTGATAGGAAGATTTTTAAATTTACATTCCTCTTGCTGATGCTGTTGTTATTCAGATTTAAGTACTATCTTATTTATTTGTTTGGTAATTCTTTAAATTAGTCATTGTTTTCATTGTTTAATATTTCAGTATATGAATCCATACTTGTGTTTACCAATAATCCTGATTTCAACTTAGCCATTCTATTAGGGAAGAATTTTTCTTTTCCCTAAAGAACATGTTATATATAAACCCTTAATGGTAAGAATCTATGAATGATAGACTCAGTTTTTGCTCACCTGAGAATGTTACTCTGACCTCATACTCACATTTTTGTTGGCTAAATAATTCTAGGTCTCAGTTATTCTATTTTATCTGTTTGAAGATAATTCTACTTTCCTCTTTCTAGCTTCCCTTGTTGCTATTGCAAATTTTTCTGGTAGTTTAATAGAAGACCTGCTCTTCATGGTCTTCTATTTGTTGTTGTTTTGAATTTGATTATAATTTGCCCTGTGTTTAACTCAATGTTGTAGGTTTTCTCCTATTATTTATGCTCAAGATTTGTTATGGTTGGTATTTGTTATATCTTCCATCAGTTCTGGAAATTGCAGATTCACAGTGGATACATTTTCATTCACCCCTCCACCCACAGCCACTTCCAAGATAGATAAATTTACATATTATCTTCTTTTGTAGGACAGGGTTTTTTTTCCTACTTCCTTCCTTCCCTGAGAGTGAAGCCTTTCTTGGGTTTTAGCTTTAAGCAGGAATGAGGTTCTCCAGCCTGACTTACATCCTACAAAGGCCCGAGACTTCACACCTATTCCTCTGAGTGCAGGAGGCAGTCCAAACAAAAGCTTTCAACCATTAGTGTTCATTGTGTGTGTGTGTGTGTGTGTGGTGTGTGTGTGTGTTGTATATATATGCAGCCTCCTTAGAGGATTTATTTGGGTTTTTTGTTTTGTTTTTGCAAGAGTGTTTCAGGACTTCTGAAAAAATAGAATTCTGTCCTGTGCCTTATGATGGAAATTTTTTCTTGTCATTAAAAAAAACAAAACCTGTCAACTTCCTACAGGTGGGCAGTAGGTCATCCAGTCCTAGCATCAGAATGATCACTACTACCACAGGACCAACCTCAGAAAAGCCACCTCGAAGTCATCCGTGGACCCCTGATGATTCCACAGGTGACCAGACTATTTCCTAATTACCATTATGAAGTTGAATTTACCATGTTTATTGTCATTTAGTTGTGTCATTGCTATAATCTTCATAAAGGCAGGCATTGTACAGTAGTTTAGATTTTCATATTAATAAAATCAAATATTTAGCATTAACTTAAAAATGTCTTTTTGAATACTGACACAGAGACCAATACCTAACATCTACAGAATGGTAAAAATAATTATCTTCATGTCAGCCTTTTGTTTTAAAGATAGTAAGATATCAGGTACTTGAGTGAGAAAAAAATTTCTGACTGTGACCTTTTAAATCAATTTTAAATTTAAATAAGGAAACTTCATTTCAGTTATATAAATAGTGTGTTAACTAAACCTTTAAAAGTCTGTTAAGAGTTATTAAAACTCCCTAACATGAATAACTGGTCAAAATGTTAGCCTTAATATCTAATCTGGAGTAGTTTCATTATGTGCAAGCAGGAAATTGTGTGCCGTAGTGGAATTAACTTCTCCTTAGCATTAGAAGAATGCCTTGATAAATACTTGGCAGTATGCTCCTATAAAAATTATTTATATGGTATGATGTCAGAGAAAAAATAACAATCTCTTAGACCTTGGAAAATTAAACCATTTGGGATTTTATATAAAATCAACTATGTTATTAATAGTGGCAATTAAATTGAAATTTAAAAATTAGATTACTGTGTTTACAAACTAAAATACTGCTTATACATATTTATAGATATTTGGCATGGTTTAGTCAAATTTATAATTTAATTTGAAAAATTAACTGGGTGGCTTTTCTCTGTCATGTTAAGATGGAACTATGTTTAGCCAGGGGTGTGTACTCTGTAGTTTTAGTAAGTTTAAATTTAGTGGTAGCAGAAACTCTTCTAAGTTTCACCCCTAGCACAGCACAGCCTAGGATCACTCAGAACATTTACCACTTCTCAGCACATGTGCAAAGTTCCCCACAACGTGCTTCTCCTCACAGGCAGACAGGGAAATGCTCTTGACAGATTTGATCATCAGCAGTCAGGTAATACCAGCTCTTTTTGGTTCCTAAACCCTCCAGTGAAGAAGTACTCTCCCTGACATTATAGTGTTTGCTTAAACCTGGTGCTCCACATGGTGGGCCCCCTGACTTCAGTCTGGACTAATCCAGACATGCTGGTCACATGTGACAGATTGTGAGTTCATGAGGGTAAAATCAGAACTCTCCGGCGCACACCTCACTTAACTGCTGGGTTTCTGCTCCATGTGTTCTCTCCCGCCCTTCTAACCCCCATTTCATTTTTTTTTCTGGAACCTAAAATACCATAAAATATTAATAGCCAGAAATCATACATAGGTTCAGCTTGTGATATTAACTGAATTTTTTCTTTGCCTTGAAATTATTGCAAATGGGTGGTCTTTATTTTTTAAATAATAGTGAATACAATTTTAGAAGTTGAAGCTCTGGTTTAAGTTTATAATTAATGAGGTTCAGCTTTGTACAGTTTCTAAGGAAAAGTATTGATAATCAAGGTAATGAAATAAATTATAGGAAAGAAATAGGTAAAGCCTTTTTCTTTGAGGGCCTGCTGACTCAGAAAAAAATTAGAAATGCATACGTAAGTTAAAACAACTTAATTAGTTAATTTTGTTAAATAAAAGGGGTGAATTTTCTGTGTAATTTTCAGAGAAAAATAAAGCGTATGATGATTTAATAATCATAGCATATAATGAGTACTCTTGGGTTTCTGGGTTTCTATTTATAAAATAGTGGAAATAAAAAAATAAATAAAAACAAATGTGCCCAAGAGTAACCAGTGACAGCGATGGCTAGACCTAGTAGGGGAGCCACAGAACATGGGAAAACTCCCTGAGGAGAGTTTCTCCTGTGCTTAGCACTTTGCCAAGGTAGGAGTATGAGACATCCATTGCTTGCAGTCTGATTAGAGCATTGTAATACTGACACATTTAAAAAAAGTCATCATGCTGTGTGATCAGCTACTAAATTAAGGTAAGATCTGGCAGAGTCTGTGACTTTTTTGTAAAACTGTGAGACTCGTTCTTTAGTCATAAAGCAGAAAGAAGACAACATTTCACATGTACTTAGAAAATATGAGATGATTATAAGTATTGTTTTTGAAAGGCCAGAAAAGATTTTTGCCTAATTTAAGCAAACAAATGTGAGTCTCAACGGTCAGGAAATGAGATTAGATTTGATTGGCAATTCAAACATTAAAAACCAAACCCATGGTCTATCCTTTGCTGTCTTACAATCAATTATTGCTATTACAGACTTAAAAACTAAATTTGGTCTGTGTGTAAGTGAGAAAGTAAAACCTCACTTCTTGGTTTTAGAGAAAAACCAATATTCAGTAAAGGACCTTATGTTCCCTACTACTGAAGGGCTTTAATTGTTTGAACAAAATCTTGGACTTTTTTCCACCCCTAGAATATTGTGAAACATTGGTATATTATACTTAATTCTAAAATACATATCAGATACAGGTTACTGACTTAATAAGATATATCAACTATCAAATATTTAAGAAAGTAATAGGAGTGGGAATGTTAAGACTGTTTTTCCTATAAAGTCAAGGAGAAGTCATTTTCATGCAGTTTTAATTTTGTGGAAAGTAGTGTTCCGTGGGAGCGTAGTTTGAAACTGCTATTGGGGGTGAGGAGGGAGTTGGTCAGAGAAATAAATTAACTGTGCTTCTTACTGAGCCATTACAGAAAAACATTTATGTTAGCATATGATTTTAGGGTAAATCAGGCTCTCCTAGGCAATACTCTCTTGTTCTATCTTTAATAAACATTACTTTTTCAACCTGAAATACAAACTTGAGTATTTTAAAATGCCCTGCCTTCACTGTTCTTCATTTAGTGTCAATAACAAGAATAATAATAACCATCACTGTCATGTGTTGAGTGCTTACTGTATGGTAGCATTGCATAGTATTTCTTACATGCATTATATCATGTGGTCTGATTTAGTTTAGCTTTTGGAGTTACAAGCACATTCTCAATAGTTAAAAAAAAAACTAGACTATCAATCAAACCATCAAACTGTTAGTTTTTCATCACATTGGATGCAGTGCCTTGCTGTTACCCTGACCTTGCCTTTATCCACACTACTCTTCGAATGAGTTACTTGTCAGAAAAAGGGCTAAGCAGCAGCCCACTTGTTTAGTTCTTTGTTCTCTACTAACAGTAGAAAAACAGCTGCTTCTGAAATGGGAAAATGCATATTACTTCACAGTTATCCTGCCTGCTTCTGGAACTGTTGTGCACAAACATTAATGTTGGGAAGAGACTGTTCCATGCTTCTCAGGCAAGTAGTTAGGGCAGTTTTACCTCTTTTGAAATACAAACAAAAGCTACCTGTTCAAATAGTTGGATAAAATTTGACTGGTTCAAATTAACCCATTTAACTGTTGAGGCATGCCTTCGAGCCAGTATTTATGTGTGTAATATACTCCCATCAATAACATCTCTCATTTTCTGCAGTGATTCTCATTAGGTAGGGGCGGGGTTGGGGGCTCACACTGGAATCTATGGAAACTGAAGGTGACCCACTGGAAGAGCATCTGTCTCTTGCTTTCCCCTTTTCCCTGTTAAGGAACACTAGTGTGGCCAGAGTGGAGACAGCCCGGTAGTAAACCTCGCGTGATCAGGGAAGGAAAGAGATGTGGGTTTGCGTAGGTAGAGTGAGTGTGTGAGGACTGAATTTAAAATGTAAAGGGCATTATTCTGGAATAAATATAAAGGGTACTATAGTCATGGTCCTGTATAACCACAAAAGTGTTAAAACAAGAGTAAACTTAAGTTCTGAATTAACTCTGACAAAAGGACACAGAATTTTCTAGGGTGTGGTTTAACACTTATTTTTAAATGATTATTACTTTAGTATGTCACTATTTTTGTTTTTAATTAAACAGGGGCTTACAAGCTTTATTTTATTTAATTTATAGCCAACTTAAATTGAAAGTATGATTGCATTCTAATTATTTAGAGTTCAAAACAAGATTCTTCATCACCAGTAACAGTAACTTGTGTGTTATTTACTTTAGGAAAAAATACCAGTATTTCATGCATGTTTTCCTACTTTTGTTTATAAGAATTTATGAAAGAAAATGAATTATTGAATTATGAAGTATTTCATATTTTTATGAAATAAAACAACATGCTTGAATTACAGATACCAATGGATCAGATAACTCCATCCCAATGGCTTACCTTACACTGGATCACCAACTGCAGGTGAAGGAGTACTCTGCTTTCTCACTCAATGTTTTCTTAGAAGAATGTGGACTATGTATCTTTAAGGCTGACAGCTGTGTTTTTGTCATGTATATTCATTTATTTATGCTCTCAGTTCACCTCCTTATTCTTGTTAAAATAAATGATTCTTTCAGTTAAGTTAATCAAATCTAAAATTGGCAAAATCATATGTTCTTATCCCAACACTCATGTTAAAATACTCTCACATCTTTAAAACTGCTAAGAATAGCATTTTTGTTGTTTACTTTTAGTGCACTAAAATATGAAATTCATATAAGCTCATTTGTACATAATAAATTTGGTGATACGCTGGCATTTTCGTAGTGACTAAAAATGTAAATAATGCACTGCAGTGTATCATGAGTATGAGAACTATAAACATCTTTTGGTATAATACACTTGGTAACCTGGAAGGTAAAACCAGAGGCGAAGTGCACTCTAGGCATGATTTTATGGAATAGCAAGTGTTAAAACAGTAAGTGTAAATTTAAGTTCTGAGTTAACTGTGACCAAAGGACACAGATTTTCTAGGGCATGGTTTAACTCACTTGTAAAAGATCATTACTATAGTGTTATAAAAATATATCACACTGTCTTAAGTCTTAGCGAGATAATGAGATTTAGTTTAATTGTGTTTTAACTTTTTTTTTTTTTTTTAATTTTCAGCCTTTAGCACCATGCCCAAACTCCAAAGAATCTATGGCAGTGTTTGAACAGCATTGTAAAATGGCACAAGAATATATGAAAGTTCAAACAGAAATTGCATTGTTATTACAGAGAAAGTAAGTTATCTTTCATGAATAAAAATTAAAACTCATTAGTATTTTGAGTTTGAAATATGTTAAGGTGCAGTATTGTTTGAAGACATGAAACCATCATTTTTAAAATTAATTATTAAGCATGTTTCTAACTTGGATATTTTATATATGTTTGTGTTTAAGCCCTTTTTGGCTATTTTTCATGCAAAAGTCAACCCTTTTTCCCTGGCTCAGTTGGTTAGAGTGTCATCTTATGCACCAAAAGATTGCAGGTTTGATCCCCAGTCAGGGCACGTACGTAGGTCACAGGTTCAGTCCCCAGTCAAGGTACATACCTAGGTTTCAGGTTCAATTCCCAATTAGGGCATATAGCTAGGTTGCTGGTTCTGTCCCTGCCACTAGAGGCAGCTGGTCAATGTTTCTCCCTCACATCGATGCCCTTCCCTCTCCCTCTCTCTCCCTGTCTCTCTTTCTCTCTCTTTCTCTTTCTTTCTCTCTCAAATCAATAAATACATCCTCTGGTGAGGATTAAGATTTTTTTTAAAAACTCTTTGACTATATCATATTAGTACTGAGGAAATTAAACTGGTGCTACATAAATGTGTTTAGTGTTCTCAGCATTTTAAAGTTAAAAGCTGTTTAGATTTATTGTTATAAAGACTCGTTCTCTTGGACATAGGTAAAATAATTTGATTTACTCATGTTCAGTTGTGCTTTATCTTAGAAACATTTTGTGGTTACATTCTTTCCAGGAGCATGGTTAGGAGAGTAGAATTACTTGTTAGTGGGCTTTATTTCATACCTTATGAATGTTTTTCTGGGGAGTTTTATACTCACACATGTTTTTTTCTGAGAGTTGTAGAGATTGTCTTTGTCTCATTTTTAAAAAATATAGTACTATTTTCATATTCCTTTATTTACAATTCTTTAAAAGAAAAAATGCTTTAGTTTGCTTAAGCATGGTCCTCAGGAAGTGTTATGCCTCCGAAGCTGACTTATGATGGTAACTGACATGGAGTTGTTGCAGGAAAAACTCATAGAAACTGTGTGCATGCATGGTGACAGAGTTTCCTCTATTAGTTTCCATCAGATAAGTAAGAATTTTTGTTTTCTGCAGTAATCTATGGAAAGTTCTCTGTTTGTACTTTAAAAACAAAGAAGGGAAAGAATAGTTTCATCACAATTTGCTGATAACAGTGATTTAAGTGAATTCAGGCTAGTATCTTAAAGGAAATAAACATAGAGTGGGGCAAAGTAGGTTTACAGTGGTGAGTGTGCAAAACACAGAGTTTATCCTCGTATTATTCTTTGTTAATTATCATTTTATTTTCCATATTAACAACTATCAACCTACTTTTGCCCCATCCTGTATTAGAGTCTGCAGATTGTAGAGTGAATTATGGAACTGTTGACACTTCATGTTTAAAAAAAAAAGAACCTCTGTATTTCTCATTTCACATATTTAACCTATACTTTTTCCATACTTTTTTTTTTAATTTTGGGACTTTTTTTTAAGGTTTTACTTACTTATTTTTAGAGAAAGGGGAAGGGAAAGAGAAAGGGAAAGAAACATCAGTGTGTGGTTGCCTCTCACATGGCCCCCACTGGGTACCTGGTCCACAACCCAGGTGCATGCCCTGACTGGGGATCAGACAGATGACCCTTTGGTTCTCAGCCCACGCTCAGTCCACTGAGCTACACCAGCCAGGGCCTTTTTCCATACTTTAATCATTTGAAAGAGAAGTTCTGTGCAAGAAAACCAAATAGTAGCTTGACAAATGTGAAATCATGACAGTTTTAATCAATTTTAAATACTTACTTTAACTAAGAAATATTACTAGGAAATCATTTTGAGGACTTTTTATGAAATATTTAAGTATATCCAATAGCCTCACTTCAAGAGCTACTACTTAATATCCCCCAAATAAAAGGGACTTTTAAAAGTTTATCAAGTATAAAAGACTCTGAGGGTCTTTCCTGAAAGTGTTTGCAAACTTGAATAGTTTAAAAGTGGTACTTTGTATTATTCTCACTGTTTTAAAGTAGGAGAGAGATTTAAATTGATAACATACATAATTTAATTACCTGGCAAATGTTCTGTTAGCTACCACTTTGCACTGTACTTAAGTAGGATTATGATTTGAAAACATAAGTGCATGAGTATAAAAAGTACAATGTTAACAATAAAAATTTTGTGTTATTTTTCCTATAGTCAGATGAAGCCCTTCCCAGCCTTTTATTCTTCTTTGTCAAAAAGAGTATCAGAGGAAATGTTCTGAAACTTGTGTTACACCATTTTATCTGTTTTCACTAATTATCTAAGTACAGTTACTTATTAAAAAGATTGTATTTCTATGGTTATACCAGAAGAGTGATTGATAGTTTACATTTCCAGCATGTAAATAAGTTTGAGTGCTGCATCTAAGATGGTAATGATCAACCCAGAATAAAAATTCTAATCCGTTGAGCTTTCATCAGCAGCTGTTAAGGTAGGAATCTTTCCATCGTGTAGAATATCTTATTATTGGTATTTGTTTTTAGGCAAGAACTAGTTGCTGAACTGGACCAGGATGAAAAGGACCAGCAAAATACATCTCGTCTGGTACAGGAACATAAAAAGCTCTTAGATGAAAACAAAAGCCTTTCTACTTACTACCAGCAATGCAAAAAACAACTAGAGGTCATCAGAAGTCAGCAGCAAAAACGACAAGGCACTTCATGATTCTCTGGGACCGTTAAGTTTTAAAATATGCAAAAAAAGACTTCTTCTTCTTTTTTTTTTTTCTTTTTTTTAAGGAAAGAAAAACCCTGATAATGACAATCAAGAGTGTTAGCTTTTTGGCGTGTTCTGAATGCCAGCTGCCTTTATTTGCTACTTTGTTTCATCATTAATTTTTCTTTTCTCATGGTGGACATAAAATTCAACTCTCTCCTTGCATATCGAGGACATCTGTGACTTGAATAATCAGCAGTTCCCAACTTCAAAACAGACACATGAACCGTGGCTTTATGTGCATGCTCTTTGTGTGAAGGCTAGCCCAGCAAAAACAGGGGTTTCAGACTATAGCTGCTATGTGCAAACATCATCTTTTTTTCGAGGTGGAACCTCAAGAATGATTTTGTTCTTGTATCTCATCTCAAAAAGTAAATCTTTTCCGAAAGATGGTATATACCAGGTTAAAAACAGGGTATGATAAATCTAAAATAATTGGTGGTGCGTTTTAAAAATGCAGAACCTTTATAAGGGAGAGTTGGAAGTTAGGGCTTCGATGCCAGCGTCCTCGGCCTCAGTACTGAACTTAGTTTCATCTATAAAATATTTAAAGGTAAGTGGTGGCTGCTGTATTTAATAAAAGCATATTTCATTAGACTGAAATTTGACTATGATACATTAAACCAAGTGGAACCCTTTCTGTAGGGTATAAAGATGTTTAATTCTGTAATGGCATGTATGTGTGTTGAAACTGTAAAGCTTTATGACTCTAATACTGATAGCTCTTAAATGAAATTAAAAGGTAAATCAGCACTATCCAACTTAAATGATCATTCCTTCCTGTAGTGATTATTGGAACGTTTTACTATATATTTGAAAAACTGAAGAGAAATAATGGAAATAATGGCTCCAGAAAAAAGGCTTGAACTTAGCTACTTTTATGATACCAAATGGGTAAAAAACCTGGCAAATCAGGAAATGTTAGTAAGGAAGTTAAAGTAATTATAAATTCATCAAGTACCCTACTTATCAATATTGGAATAATTGATTTTCCTAGCAAGCCCTTCCTAGAATACCTGCTGCCTTTCAGTACTTTTAAGGGAATTTCAACACTTACAAAGAAAAAGTTTTATATTGTTAAAAATAACTTTGCTACCAACTTTGAAAATAAAAGTAATAATAAAACTTCATTGAAGTAATAGACTATATGAGATCTATTTTTTTCAGTTGGTATTAAAATAAATCATATTTTGATACCAGTACAAAATGTCTTTTAAATAAGGATGTCATCAACCTCATTTTTGTAACATTAATGTTTTTGAAGAAAAAATTAAAACTGAAAGCATAACTGCTGTGATTATTAGAATTATATAATGGTTGTATTGTAGTTTTGCTCTATTTCAGATAAGCAAGTTAATCTAAGAAGTTATCAAACTATTCTTAAAAATGCTAAAGCAGGTAACTTTTTCTTTCATTATTTTTTCCTTCTCCCACTGAGTTTTATAATGTATTCTTTGTGTATACAAGCAATAAAAGTAAAGGACAGTTTGTACTAAACTGTGTCATCTTTAGCTTCTTCAAAATCTGCTATTAAATGTCTACTCTCACATCATTTAAGAAAAGGAGGGTTATCATTTCCAAATAATTTGATTACGTAGGTGGAAGTAATCCTGGGCTTTGACATATTAATAGTAAAATAAAATTGGCACAGAAGTAACTGTAGAGTAAGGGAAAGCATGACTCAGCCATAGCATCACTGCTTGCGTATACATCTGTCACACCACAAAAAGGGGCCCGGTCAACGTTCAGAGGTTTTTCTCATTATCACAGAGGAGCGTGAGGTATCCAGACATGGATGCTAAGGCTCAACTTCCATTAGGGTTTAGATTTTGATTCTGTTTCTTAATCATCAATGTGGTTTTGCTCTACATACATAGAGGGAAAATTTTTTATTACTGTAATTATTACATGCAGTCACTTCATAAAAATATGCAGATAGATAAATGGAAATAGTGTTTTGAAGTCATGATACCAAATGTGAACAAGGCTTTTGTACACTTGATTGTTTGTCTACAGTAAGTTGCTAGAGATTTTCACTACTGTAATTGTCCTGGACACAGGTGTACTTCAGCCTTACTTGGTTTTTAAAAAGTTGTGTTGCTAAGCTCATACTTTGTAAGTCCTGATTATCACTGATGGTCAGAGAAAAGGATCGCAGTGATTGCTGAAGTCCACAGCCAGTTTCATAGTATCCTCATCCATCAAACATTCAAAGAGAGATGTTATTGGGGAGCCAATTTTTTTTCCTGGTTTTACCATGTATTCTAACCCTTGTTTTGGGGTGGAAATAACAGACAAGTAGCTAAAAGTCCCCAGTCTAAGAAATTCACAAATAGTCCCTACAGAAGGGTTCTTGCCTCCAGGAAAGGAAATAAAGCTCTTATCTAACCTGTAGGGAAGTATACCTGAGCAATAAAAATACTTATACTAATACTTATACTTTTACTTAAATAAAAATTAGTGTTAAAAGAAGGCATGGAAACCATGAAAAAGAACCAGTTCAAAATGAAGGCTACACTAATTGGAGTGAAGAATAAATTACAAGGAATCAACAGTAGACTAGATGGGACAAAATCACATCAGCAATTTGGAATATAAAGAAGCAGAAAACACCCAATCAGAACAGCAAAAAAAAAGAATCTCCCCAAAATGAAGATAGTGTAAGCAACCTCTGGGACAACTTCAAGCATACCAACATTCACATCATAGGGGTACCAGGAAGAGAAGAGAAGAGAAGAGAGCAAGAAATTAAAAACATTTGAAAAGATGGTAATGGAAAACTTCCCTAAGCTAAGGGAGGAAATAACCGTAGAAGTCCAGGAAACTCAAAGTCCCAAATAAGACAAACCCAAAGAGGTTTACACCAAGACATATTACAAGTAAAATGCCAAAGATTAAAGACAAAAAGAATCTTAAAAGCAGCAAGAGGAAAGTCGTTACCTACAAGGGAGTTCCCATAAGACTTTCAGCCAATTTTTCAACATGCAAGTCAGAAGAGATTGGCACAAAATATTTAAAGTGGTAAAAAGCAAGGACCTACAACCAAGATTACTTTACCCAGCAACACTATCATTTAGAATTAAAGGACAGAAAGAAAAGGTAAAGAGCTTCCCAGAAAGAAAAGGCTAAAGGGGTTTATTACCACTATACCAGTATTAAAAGAAATAAAGGGCCTTTTTTAAGAAGAAAAGGTTTAAAATATGAATAATAAACAGCCATAAAAAAGAATGAAATCTTATTTGCAACAGCATGGATGGACCTAGAGGACATTAGCCTAAGTGAAATAAATCAGAGAAAGAAAAATACAGTATAATCTCATTTATATGTGGAATCTAAACAATATAAATGAGCAAACAAAAATGGACTCAGATACAGAGAACAGATTCATGATTGCCGGGGTAGGGGCTGGGTAAAAAAGGTGAAGGGTTGAGAAGTACATATTGGGAGTCACAGAACAGTCATGGGAATGTAAAGTACAGCATAGGAAATGTAGCCAATAATTTGTAATAACTGTGGTGCCAGGTGGGTGCTGGGAATACTGCGGGGGGCCACTTTGTAAAGTATATGATTGTCTAACCAATGTGCTATATACCCAAAACTAATACAAAATAATACAGAATGTAAACTGTAATTGAAAACATTTTTTAATTTTTTAAATTTATAAAAAAATACTTACCTTATAGCAGTACAGCTTATTGAAGAAATTTGTTTAAGTGTTGTTTATAAATGTTTGACTATTTTTGCTGATGTGTTCTAGGGTATTAAATGTCTCTTTTTCCCTTCCAAGTTTCTTTGATGTTTCTGGCTTCAGCTCCTGCCTGTAGCCAGAGATCACAGGCCATGCCTGCGAAACGTGTTTCTTTCTATAGGTGTGTGGTTTTCAGCAGTCATTTCCTCTCTTCAAATGGTAGGGAGTTCATCTTCCATCATTTAGAACATTTTATGTAAAATTATGTAATACAGAAATCCTTGTATATACTGTATAATTGAAGGAAAGTTTTTTATTTATTTTCGTTTGTAATAAAACTCAGATTTTTATTCTAAACTTGTTCCTAAAGATGGTGAATGATTTGTATCAGCAAACGAGCTGTGAGGGGCACTGCTCCAGCAGCATACTTTCCACCTTACACAAAGTCAAACACAAACTTAAAAGTCAGTATTCTTGTAATGCTGACACTGTTGTAAGATAACCATGACTTTGGAGGGGCTGGCTGGTTGGCCAGTTTACACATCATCTGCCACTCAGATATTTGGTTATATGGGTGCTCTGCACAATCTCAGCGAGTTCTACTTTGTAGGAAGTACAGCATGGCATGCATTGTTAAGTGATTCTTCGAATTAAAAAGTTATTTTTTTTGTTATCTGTAAGTTATATTAAGTATTATATTATTTGTCAACCTGCTAGCCCCCCAACCAACACATAGGCCACGTACACACATACTCTCTCTTTTACGAACTCTGCCTTCGATTTAATAAATCTATCCGTTCATTAACTGATTCCTGTTACCAATTTTTATTGAACACCTACTGTAATCCAAGCTGCTGTCACTGATGCCAAGTTACATGCCCATTTGAGTCATCTGATAGTTAGAAGGTATTCCCATTTCACAGATGGGAAAAGGCTCCTTAAGGTTAAGGCTTGTACTGAGTCTGCCTCTCTATCATCTGTTTTAAGCAGAATCTCATGGAGGTGGACTCTGTGGCCACTGCTAATCTATGATGTGAAGAGTGTAGGCTCACATCTATTTACTGGGGCATGCCACATAGCCACCCTACCTTGAGTGAGGCTGGGATATGTCTGTTACGGGCAGACAAGCCTAACTAAGTGGGTAAGAAGCTAGGTCACTGCCTCCTCTGATTCCTCTGACCCCACCCTTTGTAGTTAAAACAGAAATAGGAAAAGGCCTCTCACAAGAATGCAGATGTAATTTGCATTTTCATTAGTATTGGAACCTGACCAGTGTGCTGTACAATACTTAAAGATTTTCCTGGGTTCATAACTGATGCAGCTTGGGAGAATAATACTTCACAATGTAAAATTGGAGTATTTTAGTTGGAACACTAGTTGGGGACATGAAGTAATTTATATTCAGTAACAGACAATCCACCTTAGGAAACAAGTTTCCATTTCATCTTGAGTGAATGAATGAATGAATAGAAACTTTAGCTGACATTTCACTTACATATGGAATCTGTGGAACAACATAAATCAATAAGATACAGCCTCAGATATAGAGAACAGACTGACAGCTGTCAGAGGAGAGGCTCCTTGGGGCTGGATGAAATAGGTGAAGGGATTAAAAAATAAAAGAACGAACTTTGATAGAACAACCCATTATAATGAGGAAAAAAATAGCCATAAGAAGAAAGACTTTCAACAAACTTAGAGATACTATTAGAAAGAAACAACAGAATTAACATTTACTGAGAGTGCAGTTTCAGGCGTTTCCTAGGTGTTATCCTTGCTTTAGAGAATCTGAAGCCCAGAGATGTTTGAAAACTTGCCCAGCTAATAAGTGATGGACTCCAGTTCAAACCCAGGTCTCCTAAGCCTCAAGGTATACAAAAATCTCAGTTTAGAACTTGTAATGCATTTTCTTACAGATTTAGTAAAGGAGAAAAGAACTAAGTATCTAAGCTCGTTCAAGAAACTCTATTTGGTCTTTAATGGAAATGAAATAATAATGCCACTGAATGGAACAATCCCAGCAAGGGAAACAGAAAAATTAAGTGGTTGATATTCAGCCTTTTACACTGGGGATTTTACCCTTTTCGAAAGTTATTTCCTTTTCTATCGTATGTTTCCCAGTAGAAATAAAAAGCAAGAGAAAAGACCACTGTGGACAGGTGAAAAGGGACCACACACTAAACCTGACAAGCTCAGGGGAGGCCTGCATGGCAGCCTTTTAACTCAGACCTAAAATAACCACAAGGGATGGTCTAAAATTGGATCTCACTAACCAAAAGTAGTTTATAGCAGCTAGTTATGTCCTAGGCTAGAATCTTCCCTGGCAAAAGTCAATCTTCAATACACACTGCCCATCTATTGTCTTTTCGCATCTACAATAACATACCTTCGGAATGCCAAGGTAACTTCCTTTTAGCACAGATAGCGCAGAGCAGAGACCACCGATCCCCTCATTGTCAGTGAGTTGACTGTTGGCTGTTTACTGTCCTGTACCCATTCGTGTAAAAGAAGCACGTGTCTACCATTTTACTTTTTATCTGCCCCAGAGGTTTCCCCACCTTGCTTTCTCCCACTTCCCTACTCTGTCACCAGTGGATTTCATGTAACCTATTGTACTTACGTCTTCTTTGATCATAATGTATAAAGCAGGGTGCCGAACTGCCCTTTTCTGGAGCATTTTCTCAATACGTTGAGGTTTTGCTTCCCAGCAATTGTCAGTTTGGCTCAAATAAACTCATAAAAATTCTTACAGGTTTAGACATTTCTTACACTGACACCACCTTACACACAGCTCCAACCATGTT